GAGATGGTTGGACAGTGTCATTGAAGCTACCAGAATGAATTTGACACAACTCCGTGAGGCAGTGGAAGATAGGAGGGCCTGGCGTGCTATCGTCCATGGGGTCACGAAGAGTTGGACATGACTAAACTACTAAACAACAACAACAACAGTGTAAACTAACTAAATAATAATTTTAAAAATCAGTCAGATAGGGAAAGCACCTACCACCACCACCACACATGGGGGAGGGGTGAGGAATTCTGAAATAAGCGCGCGCGCACACACACACACACACACACACACACACACACACACACACACACACACACAGTATCCGCAAGGAGGTTGAAGAATCACTCCTTGTCAGCAGTTAGTTCAAATAATACTTAAAATATTTAGACAGCATCAACAGCATTCCCTGAAATGCTATATATTAATTAAAGTATGGAAGGATGACAGGTTAATTCATAAGTTATAGTGTGAACAATGAGTATCATATGATCTACACCTCTAAATATATGGAGAACCAAAATGGTCTGTCCTCAGTACAGTAATTATCTAATTAATACAATTGTTGGCTTTTGTTTATAATAAATAATATATAACCTCTAAATTTGCAGGTCTTAACCCTGTCACTGAGAACTACTACATGTTTGTATATGTCTGTATCTTAGTCACATATTATTGCTTCCTATCTATTACATATTTATACCTGTCTGGGATATTTGGTTCTGTCCATGTCACATATTGGACCCTTTATGACATGCTTTTAACCAACAGTTGCCTTATATAGCTGCTTAGCTCACTTCAGACTCATTGTGATGGGTCAGAATCATATACTATGCAAATATAGCATTCTGGTCTTTCATAGCAAACACATACAGTAATGCCTCGACTTACGATCGTCCCAACATACGACTATTTCGAGTTTCGACCAGCTCCGGCTGCACAATTTTGCTTCGACTTGCAGCCAGAGCTTCGAGTTGCAATCAAGAGGGAGGTGAAAAAGGCGGGAAATTCAAATTAGAGGGCTAACCATTGGTTGGGGAAGAGCTTCTTTGTAGCTCTTTCACCCCAACTGTTAGAGTGTGTGCATCGGAGGAGGCTTCAGACTGCCTGGTGCTGCTTTCTGCTTCTGAGTAAGTACATTTACAGGGTTTTGCAGGGTGGGATTGGGCTGGCGGGGTTATGCTTCTGTGCTGTGATTTTTTGTGTGTTTTGGTTTGTTTATTTTTTCAGCCCCTGCACCTTCCGATGGGGTTTGCTGTGTTGTTTATTTTTGGTAATTTTTTTCTAGCCCCAGCACCTTCCGATGGGTCTTGCTGTGCTGTTTATTTTGTGTGTTTTTAAAGCCCCAGAGCCTTCCGATGGGGCTTGCTGTGCTGTTTATTTTTGGTTTGTTTGTTTGTTTTTTAGCCCCAGCACCTTCAGATGGGACTTGCTGTATGTGTGTGGGTTTTTTGTAATTTTTTTTTTGCCAGAACGGATTAATCACATTTCAATGCATTCCTATGAGAATGGTGCTTCGACTTACAACCATTTCGAGTTACGTCCATCTTCTGGAACGGATTATGGTCGTAAGTTGACACACCGCTATACACATTCTGAGTTGCATAATCATATATACTGACAACCATTGGAGAACTCAATCTTTTAAAAGGCAAATAATGAATTCATAATGAATGTATTTTTCTTTCCTTTCATTTTTAAGCAAATGTACATACACTAAAAAGTTGCTATGGAAAGGAAAACAGTTTTAGTTGCCCATATGCATATTTAATATACAGAGTGAAAATATGTGTAGTTGCTATATGCACACATACTTTAGCATTCATCCATTCCTACTGTAACCTGCAAGCCTATCAGGTAAATTTACAGTTAATGAAAAAGGGGATCAAAAGATTCCAAGTAAAGTATTCGGGTAACATAACAGTCAAAACCTAATAGCTGAATAAGTAACAGAATGAAAATAACGGCAGGTGTAATTTATCTAATTGTACACAACATCACATGCACATAGGTATAAGTGCAATATTTCATTCTTCATTAATGTCCTGACATGATGGTTTAAATAGTATAATGATTTACATAATTGATCACAGCTGCCTTGAAACATGTTGGGTGCAATTGGACACCATTTTCTCCTCCATCATGACTACAAGAAGCTTGGAACCTTTTGATTCCCTTTTTGATTAACTGTGGTTTACCATACGTAACATTTGAACCCTTACTAATTGTGGTTAATTTTAACAGTGGTTTTATGAAACAAGCCAATTTCAGTAAACCATAGTGAAGATTACTTGCAGTTTACGTCAGTCTGACAGTTCATAATGTGTGAGAGCTTGGAAACATTTTTAAATTTTAATTTGTTAGAATTTTCTCATTTTAATCCTTGTCTGTGTTCTGTGCTGTCTAGTCAGAAACTGACTTACAGCAGTCCTGACAAGGCTTTCAAGGTAAGTGAGATACTGTATTTAAGGAGTGGTTTTACCAGTTCCACTCCCCCAGGGAGTTTCCATGGCCAAGTGGGGATTCAAAACCTGTTCTCCGGAGTCCTTATTACTCTATCCACTACACCATGCTGTTGTTTCTTACATGGATATAATGGCAGCAGTTTAACATTTTAAAGTTAATACTTGAACTGTTAGAGCTTAACATAAACAATGGTTTATCTGATTATCACTGTGTCTCCCAAGAAGTTACAAGCTGATCAAAAGTCTCCCAATAAATTACAATTACTGTATTTGTTTTTATTGTATGCTATCAAGCCACTTTTCATTTTTCCCCCATATGTCTGACGAAGTGGGCTTGTCCACAAAAGCTCATGTTAAGAATAATAGTTAATCTTTAAGGTGCCACATGTTTTTGTCTTGTTTTGTTTCTTCGGATTTTGCCCGATATGCTTGCACAAACACCCCTTCTGATTCCTCTTTAAAAACGACAATTCTGGCTTATGGGGATACTTCCCAGGGTTTTCTAAATGTAAGGTGATTTACCAGGTCTTCCCTCTGGTGGCCTTGTGGAGACTGTGCAGCTTGCCCAAGGCCATGTGGCCTAGATCTTCTTCCAGGAAAGCACGGCGGAGAATCAAACTCCCAATGCCTGTCTCTGTCTCCCAGGGAGTACAGCCCACTGAGCTATCCATCTGCGGACTATGGAATAAAATTCTTCCCCTTGCTTAATTGTTTTAAATACAGTGCCCGGTGTCTATATAGTGATACATACAATTTTAGGAGAAAAAGAATTCAGCACATGCTCTATCCCTTCCTATTTCTTTCATTTAGGGGGAAAAAACCTCAGGGACTGCTCAAAAATTCAGTGCAGCTTAGTTCTAGGTATATAGGAATCGGGTTATAGATTTCATTTCCAGTAATCCTGTTTTTGTTTTTTTTTAATATCTAGCAGATGAATTTTTATATCTATAATGTGTCCTTTACACACTCAGAAGGTGGACGGAACTTACAAAAAAAGGGAATAATGTATATGATAAAACGTGTGTGAAGCACAGATCTGTGTTGCAATATGTGTTAAAATAACTATTAATTTTGCCACCAGGTGATTTCTTCAGTGAAAATATAGTTGTGTGACTGCTCATTTTTTGGGTCATGTTTGTTCATGAGGTTAAAATGTCACTTTTAAAGCTGGTGGGGGGATGTTTATTTCCATGTTGTGGTTATATGAGCAGTACCAATGTGTGATGGCGTATCTATGAGGTGTTAAATATAAATTTTTCCATTTGCTTGCTTGAATAGAATAAATTGACAACCCTTATTTAATGTTGTAAATACAGTTCCCACAGTCATTGCAAGTAACTGAGTCATTGCACAGCAAAAAGCATATAGATAATTGATGCAACTGGTGAGATGGCATGAAGAGAACAGGTGGTGCATAACATATTAGGTTGTAACCCTAGATTCCATGTTTAGGACAGACAGTATTTATTTAATATTTATTTCATATGTTTATATGCTGTTGATGCAGTGCAAAGCACCACTCTAAGTGGTTTACAATAAAACTATAATCCATCCACACAACAAAGACATTAAATATCCCTAAATCAAAATATATTATAATTAAAAAGAGATTCCCAGATGGTGGGGGAATCGGGGAGCACAGCTAAACACTTGACAGTTTTCAGACATGTTATATCTCCAGCCAACTACTTTATTTACATTTGTAGTCTGTCTGAATAGAAGCATCATATCAAGGGAGGGCCACTTTAAAAGAACACAAGGATCATATTCAAGGGAGCCAACAACAAATATGCCACCACAGGGTCAGTACAATGTATACTGTATAAATTTACAACCTATGTACAATTTATTCTGTATACATTTTATTGCCTATGCCCAAGTTAATGATTTAGTTAACAAATTAATTAAAGTTATTTCAACTAATTAAACAATTTTGGCCCTTGTTGTTTACGTTTAACAAATTAATTTTCATTCAGTGAAGAGAATACCTCTAATATTTTCATACCTGTACTAGAAAAGAGACTGGTAGAGTGCATACGCCAAATGTTCCCAGAATGTGAGGAGGTTCTTTGTTACTACTGAATGCCGCTAGTGAAAAATTAAATATTGGTTATTTGTGTAAGTCATGTGACATGAGACCATGTACAGTGGGGTCTTGACTTGAGAACTTAATCCGTATTGGAAGGCGGTTCTCAAGTCAAAAACTCTGTAAGTCAAGTCTCCATTGACCTACAGTGCATTGAAAACCGATTAATCCCGTAACAGGCAGTTTTTGTTCCATTTTGGTTTTTTTCTGGTCTAAGTCAAATCTCAGTCTGCTAGTCAAACCTAAATTTTGCGGCCAGAGAGAAAAATTAAACATTGGTTATTTGTGTAAGTCATGTGACATAAGACCATGTAACTTACATGAGTGAGAGTTTGTTAGTATAGCCTTCATTGCCTTAGTTCATAAAAATTCAAAATCTGATAGTGTTGAGAGGGGCCTGCTGGCATTGTGTTAATGTCCATCCTTTTCTCATATGGCAACAGATTTTGCAAGGCCTGAAGTATACCTTTTCTGTGGACTGGTGGTCATTTGGAGTCTTGTTGTATGAGATGCTTATTGGACAGTCGCCTTTCCATGGTGATGATGAAGACGAGCTGTTTGAGTCAATCCGAGTGGACACCCCTCATTACCCACGCTGGATTACCAAGGAATCTAAGGATATACTAGAAAAGGTGCACACTCAGAAACAGTTAATTCATTGGGAAAGTAGCAATGACTGTCTCTGAATTTAATAATCTGTGGCGCTGAAGCTATTGCTTGTGGTGGTGCCTTTAAAAAAAAGATGGAGTGACCGGCCATGTAATCAAATATTTTCTTGAAATAACTGAGGAAAATGTCCTTACAGATTCAAAGAACCTTGACATTGTCTGTTTTTAATTACATAATCATGAGGATTTCTTTGGCAAAATGCCTCCTCAGTGCTTGTACCCATTTTGTGTAACAAGGCTTGTTAGGGGGCAGAGGCTGTGGGCCCTGCTTCCCCAACCCACAATACCTTTCCCGATAAAAGAGCTTTGGGCCAAATGCCTCCCTCCTCCCAAACAGCAGCCGTGGGTATCGCTCCACAGCATGGGACGCTATTTCTTCTCATCTTTTCTTCCATGATTCCATTAAACAACAAAATAATTGGTTACAGGAACATGATTTTAGATCTGTAGGTCCTGTCACATATCACTTCAATCTAAAATGGTTACTAACCACCACTTTCTTTCAGAATATGGTTTCCTAGCAAATAGCTAAATTTCGATATTTATTATATTTTGTAGTTGTTTGAAAGGGATCCAACAAAGCGACTGGGAATAACTGGAAACATCAGAGACCACCCTTTCTTCAAAGCAATCAATTGGTCATTACTGGAGAAGAGGGAGCTGGAGCCACCCTTCAAACCCAAAGTGGTACGTAAGCTCATACTTAGCAGAGTGTAGGAGGACTCTGATGTTTTCATCCATTGTCATCTTGTTCTGGGGCTGACGGCGGCATGCTTGAAGAATGTGTGAAATCAAGCTTAATAAGTTAGACTGAGTCCCGTAAGACATTTTCATAGCCATCTACGGCTGACTTGTGATATTAAGAAGTTAAACCATTATTGGTATACTGTACGTGTTTCTGCATTCGATTCTAACCATCATGTGCCTTAGATCAGTTCTTTAGGAGGAAAGACAGTTCAGCTTAAAGGTGTACATTTTTGCAAACATATTAAGTTTCTGATATTTAATGAACTCTGAAAGATACAGTGGTGCCTTGCAAGACGGGCACTCCGTTTAACGACGAATCCGCATTACGACGAGGTTTTTGCGATTGCAAAAGCAATCACAAAACGACGTTTTGAATGGGAGAATTTCGATTCCGTTTCGGGAACCAATTTTCGCTTCCTGATAATCAAAACAGATGATCATCGGATTTTCAAAATGGCTACGGGGTGCTCAAAATGGCTCCCCGCTGTGTTTAGGAGCCATTTTTCGCTGCACAGGCACCCGAAAATGGCCGGCCCTATGGAGGAACTTCGCTGGACTGTGAGTTCTTAGCCGATTGGAACGCATTAACCAGGTTTTAATGCGTTTCAATGGCTTTTTTATTTTCGCTTTACGTTTTCGTTCTACAGCGATTTTGCTGGAATGAATTAACGTTGTAATGCAAAGCACCACTGTACCAGTAGTTGCATCTAGAACTGTTTCCCAACAAGCACATGCTTGACTTGGGAGCACCTTAATTCTGACAGCTTGCAGTTACATCAAGAGTGAAAATCAGGGATTTCTGATTCCTAAAGCGGTGGCTAAAGTTACTGCTGGAAATAAAAAATAAAAGTCTTTTGGTGTCTTGAGGATTAAGTCATTTATTACATTGCCATCTTTTACATACTAGAAACAGTTTTATCTGTTTATTGGAATATTGTTTACAGAAGATCAGGTTCATGTGAACGGCACTTGATTTGTTCCAATTTCCTACTCAAAATTCAGTGGGTTGTCATAGAAATTGAGGTAACAGTGCAATAGTTTTATTGTCTTTAATCACTGCAATTAGTTGCAAGAGGGTGGTGCCCTCCAAACGAATTAGGATTGAGTTCCCGATACTCTGGTTTCTCTTCAGATCGTATAAATCTTTCGCCTTTTGAATTAGGATTGAGTTCCCATCATCCTGAGTCACATGGGCCAATCTAGTTATAGCTACAGAGCTCTCAGAGCAATGACCTGGATCAATTAAGGAAGTTGAACTGCTGTTGGTTTTGTCGCCCCTTTTGCTTTACCAGAAATCAGCAAATGACTACAGCAACTTTGACAGAGAATTTTTGAATGAGAAGCCTCGACTTTCATACAGTGACAAAAATTTAATAGACTCAATGGATCAGTCTGCATTTGCTGGGTTCTCCTTTATCAACCCAATGTTTGAAAAAATCCTGGAGAAATAGCTCATCAAAAGACAACACGCCTTTGAGGTACGGCTGTGTATGGATTGCCTTCAAGCACCTCCTGTTTGAAATGTGATGAAAGGACACTGTCATCTCTTTGCCTTCATTCTGAACACTCAGTAGTGACAAATTATGTTGTCCTGCCAATTCTTTTACAGATGGTAGTAGATTCATCTTGCATGATTGAGTTTTAAATATCCTTGTAAATCATTCGTGTGACTCTTAAGCAGTAAGGAAAATGTAAATTGTTTGTATGTTTGTTTGAATATAGTTATCTGTTGTGGGTAAATACGTATATGTATATGCTGTATATTTTGCTCTGGAGGTAAAAGATGGGTTGCAAGGGTATCTTTTAAATACAGTGAAAGAGTTAGCCACTTTTATATCAAGTGAAATAACTTGAATTTTATTCAGTTGATTCTGAGCTTCAAGTATTGCTATTTTTAATTGGTAAGTGCCATCAATTGAAGTGTTGTATAAAGCCTTATTCTAACCTGTTTACAACTTTTTCAGTAGTATGTTTTTTGTTGCTCATGAATGAACGCACATTAAAGAAAATGAGAAGTACTGTAGCTGATACAAAACATGCCTTTTCTTGATTTGTGTACTCAGACCACACTCCAAACCTCATCCACAACCCCTAGAGATGCAAGTCCTATTAATTCCAGTAGGGCTTTCTTCTGAGCAAATACACAGAAACAGGCTGCACATCTTTATGGTCTCAGGAGGTGGTGAGCACTCCAGCAGTGGGGACATTCAAGATAAAGTTTTACAAGCATCTGTCAGTTAAAGCTGACCTTGGACTCTTGCATTGAGTAGGGGGTGGGTTGGACTCAACCACCTTTTAGGTCCCTTTCAGTTCCATTAGTCTATTATTCTAAGTTGACAGGTACCTGAGGAACATCTTGTTGTGTTACGTGACCATGACATCTAATCTGAGGATAGCTGCTGCTTTGAATCTAATCCTAGTTTCTGTGCAGGCTAAATTCGATTCAGCCCACTTTCAACACAGACATCAACAAGAATTGTTTTCTTTAAAAATATTTAAACGCATATCATCTGGCATCTACTCATTCCTACCTGTTATTTTAAAGAACAAGTGTTAAAGTGAAAAGAAGAACCTGTAGCACACATAGAATTGTGAAACTTAGAGGAGATTGTGCATGGAGATGGAAGAGGAACGCTGCTAAATTTGACATTCATCCAGGATTGCTTGTTGTCATTTTAAACTGCCTCCAATTTATAGCAACCCTGTGAATGTGTGAACCTCCAGACCGTCCTTTTCCTCAGCAGCCCTACTCAGCCCTTTTAAACTTAGTACTGTGGCTTCTTTCAGGGAGTCAATCCATCTCACATTTGATCTTCTTTTCCTGACACCTTCAGGTTTTCCCAGCACTTTCTTTGGTGTAATATTTACTTTCTCAGATGCATGGGTATCACTGCAAGTAGATACCTTTCTACACGAGTCAGTTTCATTTTCCCAATGAAAACTGAGAAACACTTATTGGGCATACATGAGTAAGTCTTGTTAAGACTGCTAAGTATACCAACCTCTTATTTTTTATCTGAACCAGTAATCTGACATTTTTGCCAAGTGAATTTCTTCAAAAGTTTTGGCTCCAAACTGCCTGAAAGTAACAGGTTTGGTCTCTTTTCTAAGTGAAATGATGTTAATATTGTGAATCTTTAAGATGTACAGAATGTTTAGACCTGAGCATATTTCAATGTGAAAATGTCCAGACACCCATCTGCTTTTCTGTGGTATCTATCACTATCCCTACTGAGTTGCATGACTGTCAGACATGGTTAACTTCCAACACACTAGAAAGACATGTCTTCTTCATGTGCCAGGTTTCATAGGTTACTAAAAATATTTATTCTCTGGATACTGACAGCAGACACTTTGGCTGGAAAAGCAGACAACATAATACTTCCGAAGACTTATATTTGCATAGGCTGGAATACAAGTTTCCACTTCTACACATACCCTATATATTTGTAAATGAATTTTTTGGAACTTTAGAAATAGTGTACTCAATTAAGCAAATGTTTTGCTAGTTTACATGTTATGAGTCTTACAGGACCTGTCAGAAGATCAGACGCAGTTAGGAACTTTAAGAGAACTTCAGAAAGCCAGCTGGCCAGAAATAACTGGCCATAAGGCTTTTGGTTTCTCCAGGTACTGTCAGAATCTTCCACTTTTTCTGAGATAAACCATTGACATCAGGCCACATCTAGTGGTGCATCTAAGAACAACGTATTATTAACAAATTCATTTCCTGTTGCAGTGTTATTTCTTTCATCCAATTTTTCCAATCTTTTTAGCACTAATAAAGCATTAATACAGCAATTATACTGAAGGTTGTGGTGTGCCTTTTTTTTCTGCTGCTCTTTGGGTATCTCTAACTTTAGGCTATTTCTTTATACTGCATGACTATTACTTTAATAAAGCTTGTTTGCAAATATTACAACATATCAAATGCACAAACAAATTCACTGATCACCTGAACTCTGCAGCAATATGTACGTATATGACTGAAACAAAACAAAATAGGAGTCCTATCCATGGTAATGAAAACAGGAGTACTATCCATGGTAGTGCACTGCTAATAAACTTTCAAAGTGGTGATGACAAAATTAACACTGGTAATTCAAAGTATCTATTATCTGAAACACTCAAAAATCTATTGTCTGTAACCAAGCCCTGATACAATCACTTCAGCTCAGCTTCGTAAGAGAGTAGACTCCTGGATTTCTTAAAATACAACAACCACTCAATAAACTGAAAAAACAAACAGGGTATGGTGGGTACCCAGATAAAAACTACTACAACAGAAAGAAAAAGCAACAAAAAGAAAGTGACAGAATACCCAATGTTGCTGACCTACAGCTCCCAACCAAGACTTCTCACATACAGGAACAATCCATTCTCAACAGTAAGTAATACTTCCCTTTCCAAAATATTTGGGTCAACATCTATTTGTTCACAGTATCTACAAGCAGTAAACAGTCCACTCTCTCTCAAGAGATGGGACAACAATCTAACATAAGATACGGTAACACACAAAAGCCAGCCTCAGGCCACTCTATCCTCTGAGGATAGTCTGTTGCAGCCCTCGGTGTAACAGTTTGGGGGCGGGGAGATTTTTCTGTATCTGCATGTTAGACTAACCACACAAATATTCTTCCCCTGCCTGCTCCCCTCTCCCCAGTCTTCTCTCTCTCTTGCTCTCTTTTTTTTTTTAATGGAGGTATTCTTGGTTCTCAAGAGATTTCAACAAAACAAAACTTGTGGTGTACATGCAGCACAAATCCTGACATGCTCAAATTCTAAATTAGGGGGGAAAAACAAGGCAGTGCACTTACTGGATTTTTCAGAAGAAACAGAATAAAAAACATTTTACAAATAACAGGACCCAAGTATTCAGGATGAATCGGAAATATGTAGATAACCCAGTGTAACAGTTGCAACTTAGCCATAATGTACTATGCTTACCAAAGTAGAGTAAATGCTACACCATTCTCACCACTCTCTTTTCTTCCAAATATTTTCATTAGCATCTTATCACTTTCGCTTCCTCTCCAGGAAGAAAAACTGTAACCATTCAAGGCTGCTATTGCAAACACAACCCCAGACTTTCCCAGACTGCCAAAAAAAAAAAAAAAATGCCACAGCAATAACAGGTGAACGTGTGCTCCTTCAAGCCTCTGACTGGTTTTAAACAGGTTGCAGAGCTATGTGCACTATTTAATACGCTAAAATACCCATTTTTCCAAACTGGAAATGGGCTTATTGCAGCAGCATTACAAAGACTGATATCTGTTAGAATTGGAACCTGTTTGTTTCATTTCAGTCTGGCTTACAATCCACACAACCTAAGCGACCAAAGAAGGAAAAGTAACCTTTCTCATTTGAAAATGTTTTTTTATTATTATTTTGGAGCAAAGGCTACATAAGACTAATAGCTTTCTGGAAATAATAAGTTGAAGGCCAATAATATTAAAGAATTGCCTTAAAATTAGCACATGAATTAACAGTCACATCTTAATTAAAATCTCATTCAAAATTATTTGGATTCTCACAAGAATATGTAATTTTCATAACAATTTGAATTCTTTTATATTCACTGAAGCCCATCTCACACATGCATGTTTGCTCTCATGTAAGAGCCCTGTGTGGACAGTGCAATCCCACCCACCCTTCCACCGTTGCTCTTTTTTTTGGTTATCTCTCATTTTACATGGTGGCCATATATAACACAAGAAGAGACTCCTCTATGCATGGAAACTTTCTGTGCAGCCCAGAAGCTTCATCTTCGGATGGCCACCATGTAAAATGAGAGATAACAAAGAGAGATAACAAAGGTGAAAGAGTAGCACATTCCCCTTCTCATCTCTTGAGTTAACAGAATACCTGAAAGGGTTACACATTTAACAGGTGATTGCTGCTATCACAGCTCCCTGAAGAACACACCTTTAAAATCTTCATTTTTACACCCATGTTTTTGACATTCACTCTTTACATCATTAGTACATGAAGCTTCCTATAGAAATGGGGTGGACATCTGGGAAACCAAGAAAGAGCTGAAGGCACATAAATAACCTAATATGCTAATTTTAGACTCATTCTCATGGAAGCAAATCCAACTAATTTGAAATGGGGCTTGTATCCACGGTGTGTGTTTAAGGTTAGGTTAAATTTCAATCAGAGCTCCATAGCCTTTTCATTTTCAGGTATCAGCACAAATTTATAATTTACACTTGCAGTTAATGATTTCTTTTCTTCAATTATACATCCTATATATAGAAGAAACACTGTTATCACGGTATATTTATATGCAACCCTATAAAAAATATCTAATATACATTAAATATTTACTCACATAATTTTACAGCACATTGAGAAATATGAAGGATAGAAAATAAGAAAAACAAATACTTCTTTCTGATTATGTAAAGATAAAAACAACATTTTACACCCATTCATAAAGGCAAACCTACTGCCTTGGCAGACTTAGAGGTGTGTATTTTCTTGTAAGACCCACATTATACCATGCAAGGTCCAAAGTTATATTTGCACATATATTTTTTTCCTCCTGGTAAAACAACTTTCAAAGGATTATACTACACATTACATTAGTGCAATAGGTACTAAACCCCTTTATACTCCCTGCCCCATATTCAGAGAAATCAGGGCAAGTTTGTTGCCAGGATTCATTCAAAAACTAAATTAGAGGAGCTATTGCATAGCATTCTGCATGCCTTACACACAACTGTGGGTCAACAGCTGTGTTCATTGAGCCATCCTCTCATGTAGCTAAGGATTGACTTGAACAAACACGTTAACAATTTAAATGCATACTATCTGACCGGACAGAATACAACTAAAGCGCTTGTGATTTGCAACTGTGTTGAATGTTTGACTGTTTAATATAGCTTTTTATTTTTATGAAATGAAAATGGTTTTATGGCTTATTTCCAGAGTATGGAACATATTGCAAAAACTAACTCATTAAAGAAATGCAGAACACAGCAGCAAATTATAGCACAGCCCCCAGCTACAGAAGAAGCAAAACCAGTTTGGGAGCCCACTTGCAAAGCCCACACAGCACACTGCCTGCAGAACTCTAGTACGAAGAGCAGGGGAGCAACAGGGAGCCACAAAGGGACCCGTGGAGACTGCAAGACACAGAATGTTCTGACTGCAAATAAAAACCACGTTTTCTGAATTTTGAGAACTCAGTCACACTGAATTGGCTGCGTGCTGACTTCTATCACATAGTATTAACAGTATTGTTATATACCCCTTATATTGCCCAGGGATGACAAATACAAATGGATTAACATGCACAACATGTTGTCGTTTGAAGAAGAGCCTCCCTTGAATTCACATGTGCAGAACATGTTCCCAAGGGACTGTGCCTGCAGCACAGGATGAGTAATATTTCACAAATTCACCTACGAGATTGCATTGCTCAGTGCATCTAAACACTTGAAAAACCTTCATGGCAACATTTTTCTCACTGCGCTTTATGTCTCTCTGCCCTCCATGTGAGCAAAACACAGCGAGGAAGCACCATGGATGCCAAGACCCGCAGAGTGACAGAGAACAAGACAGAGAACAAAAGAGCAAGAGAGGAAGTCCTTCGTTCTTGTATCCGTGGAAGCGGAAAATATTTCAGATCCATGTTGCTCTCTTCAGAAAAGAGCTGCTCATCAGTAAAACAGGTATGTAAGAAATCTCTTTTGTCTTACACTCCCTACATATTTAAACTGGAAAAGGAAAAGAAAAGCACCTCAATGCAGTAATGCTTCATCTGTGATTTTGGTTCAGGAAAGAATGTAAAGGAAACACTCATGAGATGTCAATAATTTACTGTAGCTTCACAGTAATTTGTGTTTCCTACAGTTTGTCTCCTGCTTTCCACTATTAGTGCTCTTTAGCCTCTGGCAACTACATACAATGTCCTCACTTTACTCAGTGGTTTGTTCTTTGACAAGTGAATCTACACGAATTGAAGAGGTGCCAAAGTACCTCTTGGTAACATCCCAGTCACAAAACTGACTGCGTGGCAGAGAGGCAGGCTAGCATCTCATCAATTAGGAGCAATCAGCTGCAACAAGCAAGTTTACAACACTCTTTGGAGTGTTGCTGCCGTAATTTTAAACAAGGGTTCATAGAAAAAAACACTATTCAATAAAACAATACTTTTTGAAAGATAAAACTGCTTACCATATGGGTTTCTCTTACACACAAAATGGTAAGAATGTAACTTATAGTATATTTTCTGTCAACCAGGGTGCAGGGGAAAGTTTGAAATAGTTCAGCATGATAAAAAGGTGCATACAGTGGTGTCCTGCAAGACGGGCGCTCCATTTAACGATAAAACCGCTTGACGTCGGTGTTTTTGCGATCGCAAAAGCGAACGCAAAACAATGTTCCTTATGGGGGAATTTCACTTTGCGATGATCAGTTCCTTGCTTCGGGAACCGATTCTCGCAACGCAATGACTTTTTGACAGCTGATCGGCGGTTTCAAAATGGCCACCGGGTAAACAAAATGGCCACCCGCTGTTTTCTGGGGTGGATTCCTTGCTGCACAGGCAGCAAAAATGGCCGTGCTATGGAGGATCTTTGCTGGACAGTGAGTTTCCAGCCCATAGGAACGCATTAACCGGGTTTTAATGTGTTTCTATGGGCTTTTAAAAATCGCTTTACGACATTTTCGTTCTACAGCGATTTCGCTGGAACGAATGAACGTGGTAATGCGATGCACCACTGTACTTCTGAAAAATGGACGCTTCCTATAAGTGCTATAACAAGTATTGAGCAAAGCGTTTGATTTAATTTTAATTTATAGCACAGTGTAATTGTACAAAGTCTGAAAAATGGAGGCTTCCTATAAGTGCTATAACAAGTAATGAGCAAAGCATTTGATTTAATTATAATTTATAGCACAGTGTAATTGTACAAAGGGGAAAAACTAAAAGCTTCTTGTTTACTCTGCAGCACAGGCTGGATTATTTTATTTATTTATTTATTTCATTTATATGCCGCCCACTCTACCCAGAGGTCTCTGGGCGGCTTACAACAATTAAAATTCAATATAATAAAAGATAAAATACAATTAAAATCGCCATCAGGACCCACAGTTGATGTTATTTCAATTAAAAGCCTTCTGGAACAGGAAGGTTTTGACCTGGTGCCGAAATGTCATCAACGTCGGTGCCAGACAAATTTCAGTCGGGAGAGCATTCCATAGTCTGGGGGCAGCAGCCGAGAAGGCCCTTTGTCTACAAGCCGTCCCTCTTACTTCCTTGAGGGGCGGCTCTTTCAAAAGGGCCCCTGGCTAGATCTTAACTGCCGGGTAGGCTCATATGGAAGGAGGCGGTCCTTCAAGTATCCAGGGCCCAAGCCGTTTAGGGCTTTATACGTCAGAACAAGCACCTTGATTTGGGCTTAGCATTGAAATTTATGTATTTAACAGAATTAAAAGAATTAATGTATATACAAAACAAAAAATGGGATAAATCCTTATAGAAATGGGCATCCTTCTTTGTACACAGGAATCAATACTTTCAGTTAGTGAAAAATATTCATCCTGTGTTTGGTAATATTTTAAAATATGTGCATAAAATAATAATAAAATACTACTACAGGAAATCTAACGTTAGTGTTGTACAAAAATAACAGAGTAAGAAAATATTCTAGAACAATGCTGGAATTAAAACATGACATTAAAAGTGAAAGCAATATTCCATAAACATTTAACATCCACAGGAGAAGGAGGACAGGATAAAAGCCTATATATATTAATTTAAAAGCAATTTTGTTTTATATTTCATAAATACTTGGTACGCCTCAACCTCTCATGCCAAGTCTGCCCCTTGCGCCTCAGGGAGATGAAACACATTCTCAAAGAGCAGGAGTGCATATGCATGTCCATGTTGTTTGGCCTTCTTCATTTCATGGTCCCTGAGTGGTTTTCTTCACACTGCTTCGGACGGTGCTGGGGGTCAAAAGAGCTACAAATGTTTAGGTACAGTCCTCAAGGCTTCTTCTCGAGAGCGGCTGACACATACATTCTGAAAAGAAAACCAAGCAAATGCATCAGTCAGAAAACTTTATGGATTTCACGCTCTTAAAAAACCTACTCAGGTTAGGTTCTAATCATTTTCACCATCACTGGCATTCCTTTTGTAATATTATGTAATATTATTTGTAATATTATGCCTACTTACCTGACAGCAAGCCTCACTCACTTCCGTGAAGCTCACTTCCAAGTAAATATGCAAAGGTTTGAAATGCAACTAGCAGTATTTATGCGATAATGTATTTCTTAATATTCACTAGGTTTCAGTCCCATTGTGCTATATAACAGCTTAACTGGATATGAAGGGAGATCACAACCAAATGGACTAAGCTCCACTCAAATGCTTCCTTCTCGGGTCTGGATGGCATGTTCTGTGGTTAGGCAACTCTGGGTAGATGGAACCCTGATTTTCAGAGTCTGTTATTGCTTTGCATTCAATCCCAATATTTTTGTATACAGTACTTCTGTATATTTATATATTTTGATGTTTTATTTGTGGCTGGTCTTTTGACTATAATAAAGTTTTATCTATCTATCAGAGTCCACTGGAAATCACCAATGTCAGTAAAGAACACATAGCACATGCTTGTAAGAACAAGGAGAAAGATTTACATTTTTCACCACCCATGTATAGCCACAACTTGATAGCCACAACTTTGAATCTGCCTGCAATTCCTATATACAGTGGTGCATCACTTAACGATTGCCCCACATTATGATGAATCTGCTTTACGACGATCTTTTTGCAATCGCAATTGCAATTGCAAAACAATGGTCTAAATGGGGGAATTTCGCTTAGCGATGATTGGTTCCCTGCTTCGGGAACCGATTTTCGCTTTACGATGATCAAAAACAGCTGATCATCGGGGTTTCAAAATGGCCACCGGGTGCTTAAAATGGCTCCCCGCTGTGCTTCGGGACAGATTCCTCACTATACAGGCAGCAAAAATGGCCGCCGTATGGAGGACCTTTGCTGGACTGTGAGTTTTTACCCCATTGGAATGCATTGAACGGGTTTCAATGCATTTCAATTGGGTTTTTTATTTCGCTTTACAATGTTTTCGCTTAACAGCGATTTTCCTGGAACAGATTATTGTCGTTAAGCGAGGCACCACTGTACTTCATCCTTCTTCTCCTTAGAGCCAGTGATTCTTCATCAACCAAGAAACTATGAGGTATTTTCCTATTTCTTATCAAAAAGAAAGAAATAAAACCTCAATGTCACAGCATCTTTGTTAAATCTCTGATACCACAAACCCCTAAGACCACACAAGGCAACCAGCAGTAATGCTGCTGAGGACTCCAAATGAACTTTCTCTTAGACATACACAACCAAAGCTATCAGTTGGTTCTCCACGTGTACACCTTGTGATTTCTTGTCTGCAGACCACATCCTGCTGACTCCTACACATTTGCTGCTATTTGCTTAGCACTTACAAATGAAAATACAGGTTGCTTAATTCCTGTTCCCAATGTCATGTGCAATGTTTCATCTGTCAGTTTAAGATATTAATCAGCTCAGTTTGTTTCTGAAAATAGTTTTTACATTCAAATGGTACATTTAACATGGAATTAAATCAACTGTGTGAGGCCTTGAAGCCATCAGATACTAAAATTCAACACACCCACTACTTTTCACTAGAGCAGTGGTTTCCAAACTTGGGTCCTCAGATGTTCTTGGATTGCAGCTCCCAGAAAACTGGGCCAGCTCTGAGCAAGAGCTGCCTTTGAACTCTTCAGAAACTTCAGCTGCCCAGAATGTTGTGAATTGATTTTGGACTCCCTTGCTACAACAACTTCACAGGCCACCAGTCTGTTTCCAGGCGCGATTCAAAGTATAAAATCTTAAAAGACTTGGGAACAGATTATCTGTAAGACAACTCTTCCCCCTATGATTCTGCTCGAGTTTCAAGAACATCACAAGAGGTTCTCCTCCATGCCTCATTACTGCAGAGAAACTTTTAGTCAGGAAATGGGAGGCCCTTCTCAGTCACCCCTTGCAGGCTCTCAAATTCCATGGCAAGGCCCTTTCTCTGTTGTCCATCTGCTGCCAGATAAAGACTCTTCCAATTCAGACATTTTGACACTTACAGCTGGATTGTTGCTGATTGCTGTTCATTTCTTTTCATTTGTGCATTTAATTATATTTGAAATATTGTATTTTAACCAAGACATTCTCTTTTATTATCATTCACCTCCTCGAGTGCAACTTTTGGTGGAGAAACAGATTCAAATTTTGATTTAAATAAATTAAACTGCAAGTTGCTGATCCCTAATCCTAGAAGTGCTCTGGAAAGACTTGGACATTCTGGCATTAGCCACAGGATGCCACTTGCCACCCAATCTTACATTCATGTCGCATAGCTAGACCACGAATGCAGACCATGAATGAAGTCCAGGCATATGCTATGTGCCATTGTTCTAAGCAACAAGGTATGCACAAACACCCTTGGGTTTGAATAATGATAACAATGCAGAAATAACTTTTTCGCAGAACATTCAGTTCAATGTCCATCATTGCCAGTCAAAAGAAACTAAAATAGAAAGCAATATGAAGGCCCCTAGCTGAGGTCTAGGGCAGCTGCTGTCAGTTGGATAAGGCTACACTGGAAGAGATACACCAATAGCTGAACTTGGTATAAGGAAGATTCCTATATTTACATTTTCAGACTAGCTTTGGAGCTTCTGAAGGTTCATCCTTCTGTTTCTGATCCTCAGTCCTAAAGACCAAGATCCATATGATCCAACTGGTCAACTGATTTGCATCCAATGTGCTTTACTGCCTTCTCAAAGTATCCTCAACTAACATATAACATAAGAATATCTATATAGAAACCTAAACCTCATTTTACTGTAAGAGCTTGAGCATATTCTTCTCCACCATCCAAAGCCACTAATAAAAAGTCTTGCTGATACTCTCTAGTCCCGCACAATGTTTATTTCTCTTTATAATTAGAGTGTATTGGCTGAAGAAGAAAGCCATACATACACTTTCTGCAGGTGAGATATCCAATAACACAACACATCTCTCTCTGATGAATTTCCTCTTCAACACAACAAATCACTTCAGAGAGCTGCCACAAGAACATTCACACCTCAACCCTCCAATGTAATCTAAAGATAATCATACTGATTGATTTGTTGTTGTTGTTGTTGTTTAGTCATTAAGTCATGCCCAAATCTTCACGACCCCATGGACCAGAGCACACCAGGCCCTCCAGTCTTCCACTGCTTCCCAGACTACTGATCATCAAACAAGAAATTATCACATAAAGTACTCCACAATTATACAAGACCTAGATAAATCTATGTTATACAGCATTTCACAAATACAACAAACAGAAGTCAGTTTAGGCAAAAGGAATGAGGAAAACCAGACAAGAGAACACAGAGGGTGTTTTCCCCATACTGATATAAAACATGGTTATATTACCCTAAACAAGCATGGCTGACACAACAAGGAGAAGGGGAAACTGATAGTAACTATTTTTAGTGAATTATCATTTATTTTAAAAAGAGAGTACATGACAATCGCCTTTCTTGATCCACACAGCTCAGCCTTCTAATTCTACCAATAGATATCTGGATTCCGTTAGGTACTGTACATCAAAGGAAAGTCAACCTAGGAACAACCATGTTTTGCCCATTGTAATCCTATTTAAAAGGTTTCACTGTATTTTAGTTCACCAAGACCTCAAGCCAATAGGTTTCATACAGGTAGTGGATCTTCTCTGTCCCTTTCTTCTAAAAACCATTGTGCTCACGACCTGGGGTTCAATCCAAGGTAGCCGGCTCAAGGTTGACTCAGCCTTCTATCCTTCCGAGGTCGGTAAAATGAGTACCCAGTTTGCTGGGGGGGGGGCAATGTGTAGCCTGCATAACTAACTTGTAAACCACCCAGAGAGTGCTTGAAGCGCTATGGGGCGGTATATAAGCAGCACGCCTTGCTTTTTGCTTTGCTTTACTTTATCCATCACCCTAAGGAACATGAAAATTGTCCAAAATCCCAAGTGATACTCCTGACAATTGTTGAAGACCTTACCACTGTCCTCTGAGAGTGCCATTACCAAAATAAAACCAAAGATCTACTTAGAATGCTTATATGATTCTGTAGGATCAAGATGCCAAGAGATGGTTTAGGATCTTTACAGTTCTCTTCCGTGTGGAGAACCCATACCATAATGCCCTGAAGATATGAGTCACCTGATCTAAGAAGCAAAAAAGCAGAATCTAACACCAAGAGTACTAATTAATAAAAAAGAAAGCTGCAAAACTTAATACAGAACCATTGCTCATTGTATGTAGAATTATATGAACAAACTTGACAACCACTTTTGTCTTCCCACCCAGTGATTACCATGATGATCATCATCATTATCATAGAACTGCAGAGCTGGAAGGGGCCCTATGGATCATCGAGTTCAGCCCTTGTCAAGGAGGCACAGAGGGGAATTGAACTCCCAACCTCTGGCTCTGCAGCCAGATACCTAAACCACTGAACTATCCAGCAGTACGTGACTCTAGGTACCATACCGACATGGTTTGGGACTAGCTCCTATGTTATATCACCCACATAAACAAACAGTAAAGGCTGCTTTTCTGACAACCTTATTTCAGCAGTTATTCATTGATGCTGCAGTTCTATCTCATGGTCTTGCCACCTTCTGAAAGCCTGAGTCTCTACTTGTGCCTTTACCATGTACATATTATGTGTTATACAGTAATGCATGTAACAGAGCCTGACCATTTGTAAAGGAGAGCAGAAGGACAGTATCAAGAAGGGAAAATTTAAAGTGAAGAAGGAGCAGGGGAAGGAACAGAAACATGTTATTTTCCCAGTTGTCATTCCTCTACTCCATACTGGCCACAGCTGGCTTTCTCTGAAGCATTCTCAAATGTACACTTACTCTCATATTAAGCATCTCCAGTTAGTCCATTATAAGCAACAGCAGCCATATCTATTTGCCAAAGTGTAGATACATTTTTCTGTTTCTAAGCAAGGCAAATAGAAAAGGTACTACCTCACATCTCCATCCAAAAATATTAAAATTAGAACTGTTATTGAACTGAAGAAATCTTAGTCAACTAGATGGTTAGTTGAGTAATCAACATGTTAAGATTTGCAAAAATTTATATGTTTGCATTTGAGACAAGGGATGTTTTGTTACAGCAGGTGTTCCCTCAGGGAGGAAAGAAACAAGAAAAATGCCTCTTAAATTATATTTTAAAGCATTTTGAAAGCACCTGCTGGGTCTTGTTTTTTTACTAATGCACATTATGATTTTTTAAAATAATTCAGCTGCCCAGTTAAATGAGAAGTACAGTGGTACCTCGACTTATGGACGTCTCTACTTACAAACATTTTGAGTTACAAACGGCTCCGTTTGCAAAATTTTGCTTCGACTTGCGAACGGAAAAAAAACTTTCCTACCCTTTTTTTGACCTAAGTTCATCTTAGGTCAAAAGAAGAAAAAAAGGAAAAAAATTCTCCCCCAAGTGGTAGAGTACAGATTAAGCAGCTTTGCATTAGTTCCTATGGGAACTAATGCCTTTACTTGCAAACAGCGTCTCAACATACGAACGAAAAACAGCTGGAATGGATTAAATGGTTTTCAATGCATTCCTATGGGAAATTTTGCCTCAATTTACGAAGGTTTTGATGTTCAAACGCCGTTCCAAATACAGATTAAGTTCGTAAGTCGAGGTACCACTGCATCTCTTTAGCTAATTAAACCTTTCAAAATTCCTATTAAATGTTGCAACTTTAATTGGAGAAATATATTTTCTATTAAGTAGGGCTGAATGTGCTTTTCTCTGCAAAGGAGACACTGTTCAGCAATTTGCATCTGTCATGTCTACAATACTGATGCATTGCACTAGGAGGACTAACTGTACGATGACTGTGAAGTTCTTCTATGTAAAACAATCCAATCACTCCAGAGAAGAGGGAAACATTAAATAACAGAAAAATAGTGCAAGCTTGAAGTTATTGAAATGCTACCATCCAATAAGTTTTCAAACTACTGAATTGCACATAAAATTGAATATAAAAACCAGCTTTAAAATTAACAATAGTGAATTACATACTATCATACAAATCATTAATTAAACAGCTCAGCCAATTAATTTCAATTTGGCAGAAAGTTACACAAATTACTTCGCCCAATAGGATCTGACTTGTGTTGATTTCCAAAAGATATCTGCTACACAGAGCCAAGTATTAACTGTAGCTGATTCTAAAGTGATTGGAATGATTGAAAGACATTTAAGATAATACAATGGAAACAGCACCACATGTTTCATAGCTGATCAGGAAACAGGATTCACTGGTGAGCAGGGACAGTTACAAGGGCTTCCTCAGGAGGTCTTGAAATGTCTACATTCTGTGTAATGATAAAAATACAGAGGAGAGTGTTTATCATGCAGCATTGTTGGTCAAAGTTCTTCACAAGAAAACAGCTGAGCTTGTTAAACCCAACAAATGCTAGCCATTTACTTTAACATTCCAGCACTGTAGCTTCGTTTCAGAATTTTCTAGTGAGGACAGGTAGTGCCATTTGTTCTTTACCGTTCTACATGTGCTTACGCAGAGGTAAAGCTGAGTCTGCACAGATACTCTCCACTACTTGTGCACAACATTCATTCACATGTGTGAAGGAATACCAGCAATTTTGAAGGCTTTATGTGTACACCTGGCTCATATACACATTATGATAAAACATCATTACATCTACTTGTCAAGGATCGTGCATCGCTGAATATTTATTTACTTCTCACCTCTTTCTCACAGGAAATTCAGAAAATCAACTAAGTTCAAGTCAATCAAATGCCGATTTTCTTATTTATGCTTTCAAAAAAAGACAGAAAATACATAGCTATGAATGAAAACCAGACATTTTCATTCCAGCATCTGTAATCTTTTCATTCCATTCTATTCTAGTATGATCATAGATGTCCTGATAAAAAATATAAGTTCTCAGAAAATTCACTCTATGCTTATCCACCCTCTAGAACAAAGAAAGCATCAACAGTAGCACAAAGATAGCCACTGTGGTGTCATGAAGATGCTGCTACCTAGGCCATTGAGCCACTATGTCCACAGAGCAGCTGACTCCACCTAATCCTAATTCTCAAAATATATTCTCACATTTAGTTGTGATATCAGGGCTTCTTTCCTTGCCATTTCAAACACGCGCACACCATAAAACCAGGAATTGTGCCACAGTACCAATCAATCCAAAATAACCTGTGGACGTGTATGATTTACAGAGGAGCATTTCAGAATTTCAAAAAGTTTATGAAGATTCTTTTATCTGCATTTTATACCCATGGTGTATAAAATGGCAAATGTGTCGTTTTCAACACTGCTTGAGTGAGGCAAAACTATTAAGAGAAACACAACATGCAGATCCAACAGAGCAATTTTTTATCATAATGATTGTTAAGTTAAAAAAAAGTTCAGCTCATACTACAAGTACAACATTATTGCAAACAACAGCAATTTTCTAAATGTTCCTCCCACTGCTTATTACCTGTTCAGCACCACTGCTAACAGAACCATTACCTAAACACAAGACCAGGACTACCAAGTGCATATAGGAGACCATGGAGCAAGGAAACAAAGCACTCCATTTGTCAAGAATAGTCAACGTCAAAATTGGAAGCAAAATTGCTACCTCAAGTTCATTGCTAAATCCAATCACTCAGCACATGCAGTTCTGACAGTAACATTCAGCCAAAAATGTCCTAATTTTGACAAGAGAGGGAAAACTCTAAGGAAAAGAAATACTAAACATGTGATGATAAATTGTCAGACAATTTGTTTTACAGAACACTGTTATCTGACTCAGAAGTACATTGCAGGCTTTATAAGCAATCATTCTCCTCATTATTGCATGCAAGGTTTCCTATAAAGTGTGCATCTACACATGTTAATGAGTCTTCCTCCCCCCACCCCCCGAGACCCACAGAGATTGTTTCAGACCCTTTGGTTCACAACAGAACCCCACATGTGGGAGTGGAATCATGCATGCAGGGGAAGAGGGGAACAGCGGGGCTGAAAATTAGAGGGAATAAAAATGGTGTGTGTTCCCAAGTCAATCAAAGCAACAATGTATAATGATACAGTACTATGTCACTATTCCTCAAAGCATTTATTAAAGTGTGTTTGCTTACTATTGGTTGGACATACAGTATATCTAATTGATATATCTTGCAATGTCTGATATACAACCCACTTTTTGGCTTAAATTACATTTACATATGAAGAAATGTACACAGTATTTTTGCTGGGGGTTGCAAACAGAAGGTTAGAAACCGCTTTCTCCCTGCATTTTCTTTGCAAATCCTGGAGGCAGAAAGCTGCTTTTTGCAACAAAAATGGAGGGGGAAAGGAGAAATCACTTTTCCTCTCCATTTTCTTTTCATAACGTGGAGGGGGAAACAACGATCAAATCACTTTGATGCCTCCCTCCTCCTTACTTCTGAGCATAAAACGACCCTTAATTTTTCCTTTAATTTCCTCCTTACTTCTGAGTATATAACGACCCTTAATTTTTCCTTCAATTATTTTAGGAAAAAGTGTTGTTTTATACACAGAAAAATACAGTATATATTACTAAATATAAGACTACAGTCTAGGATTTACCTGTTACCATTTGTGGTTCTGACTATTAATATCTGCTACAATTAACTATAAAATTAATCAGTATCAATGCAAGATAAATAATGTTGACAGACAAAGGAGTAAGAAGTACATGATTCAAGTTTTTATTTTCTGGAGCCTTCTACTTAACGTAGAACATTTTCATTTCTACAATTCCACACATATGGGGTTAGTTCTTATCTAGTAACTGCTGGCTTCTTAGGTAATATATGGACTGTACATTTCTGTGAGCACAATGGATATGCACTTCATATGTTATCTTGGCACCTTCTCATACAATTAACAACATCCGATAAATGTGATACATTCCAACCTCAAGCACACCAGAGAAACCAAATATAGGCTTTATTCTAGAATAGTTGTTCCCAAACTTGGATCTCCAGATGTTATTAGACTAAAACTCCCAGGAGCCTTCACCACTAGCTGTGCTGGCTTGGATTTCTGAGACTTGTAGTTCAAGAACATCTGGGGAGCTTAGATTGGGAATAACTTTGAAATTTCAAAGTCATATCAATTGCGCTCCGATTCATAGGTATCTGCAGCAGCGTAGCTACACAGTCTGGGTATGTGGTAGCATTCAGATTACTCCAGTAATGTCTGAAGTGACCTGAAAACCAATGGGATGGCCTAGCTAAGTAGAGACTGGGAAGGAAGAAGACTGCAAAAAGAGTTAAGTGCAATGAGGGGCAGGTTAAGATGCCTGCAGGGAGAGCTCATAAAATCTGAAGCTCTTTGGGCTGTTTACTTTTAAAATAATAACATACTTTGAATTGGCATCCATTTGGTTGTCTCTGGATCCCTAGTCTAAAAGCCAAACAACAAAATTTTCCCAATTACAGGGATGCAACTTTGGATTTTTTTTAAATTTATGTATTTATTTACTTATTTGGACTTCAACTCACATAATTTGCCAAGAATTCACCCAGACAGAATTCCTTTGCCTGGGTGAATTCTTGGTTAATTCAAGGAGTTGAAGGCCAAAACAAAATATGGTAATCCTATCCCTACTCAATACCTTCTGGAAAAATCGTTGTCGTCTAGTCGTTTAGTCGTGTCCAACTCTTCGTGATCCCATGAACCAGAGCACACCAGGCCCTCCTATCTTTCCCTGCCTCCTGGAGTTGTGTCACACACAGATAATTAAAAAGCAACTATATCATGGGGCAAATTTTAATGGGAAATCAGGAGGAGGAAAGGAAACACTCAGCCCTGTCCGCTCCTGGTATGAATCAGGCTTCAGAGAGGCCTCACCTAAGCCTGTGCACACCACCCATGGAGTTCCAAAGTTACCTTTGTAATAGCAAGAAAGTCTTACCCGTGGTTTGTCTCTGTGCGTATTTACAGCTTCAACATTCAGAAATATAGATTCCACCTTGCAACCTGTAGAAAGAAGTCAAGCTTTAGAATTTTTTTCTTTACTACAAAAAGCATGATTGCTGTAAAAGCAAAGGAAAAAAAGAGTCCTCTTGGTTCCATCTCCAAAGTTTCTAACAATTAATTCCTCAACACTGATGCTAAATGCATACTGGGAATAAACGGGCACACAATGATTAACATAGTCCAAAAAACTGACAAGATTTATCTGTTCTCAAAAGGGTTCCTCCGTGATGTTATTGCTACAAATGCATTCTTCCCTTGAAGCTTCAGCATCATATGAAATAAATGCCAAGTCAAAATACTGCCGCTTTTGACATTATCTCGGGAACATGGAAGGACAATCATTGCACTGATCCACATATCAATCAATTGACATAGGTTTTAATCTTTTGCTTGTTAGCCATATTCTGGACATTTCTGATTCCTCATGTTCAGTAGATTGAGGTGGCTGCAAGCAACACACACCACCACTGTATCACAGAACTGTACAGCTGGAAGGGATCCCATGCATCATAAAGTCCAGCTCCCCTGCCCAAGCAAGGAGTCTACAGCTAATGCACCCCGACAAATGGCCATCCATCCTCTGTTCAAAATTCTCCACCAAAAGAGTATTGCATTAGATTTCTTATTATCCTATCAGTTACTCTCCTTTCACTTTAAAATTCACCACGTTCCCATGGTGACAAGGAGTTCCACAGGCTAATAACACGCTGAATGAAACAAGGAGACATTTAAAGTAAAGATCAAGTGGGACTGTTTCAAGTTGTACCTGTGCATATACAAAATGTAATGTGTTCTGTTTTCTTGTCTTATAGTATATACTAGAAGTATATAGTTTATATTCAAAGGTAATCCAGTTGTTTGAGTGTGGATCATTTAGTCAAAGATAACACTAAATAATGCTATTGATATATATGAAGGTGTGTGTGTGTGTGTGTGCATATATACACACACACATATATACACATATATACATACATACATATATGTATATATACGTACATATACATATACCATATAAATATACATATACATACACACACACACATATATATATACACATACACACACACATACATATACATACACACACACAGATTTACAGATGGGTTTCATGTGCTCAGTTGCTGAATTATGCTTACTAACTCTTAGGGAAGGGGGAACAGAAAAATGTGAAGAAAGGGATATAGAATGAAAGATCTGAGTGAGGAGAACCATGGATAGCTGGCTTGAACCCTCATTGAACTTTTTTTTATTTTTTTATTTTTTTGCAGTCCCATTTCTTCACATGAATTTCAACCTCTAGGAGAAGAGAAATGAAAACTAAACTATTTACATAATTTAAGTTTTGATAAATAATTAAACCCAAGCAATACATTATGAGATACTATTTAAATTTTACCAACAGGCCAAAACCTGATTACTTGGAAGTGAATCTTATTGGCATCACTGGGGCTTACTTCTGTTTGCCCATTTATAGGACTGCTTTGTAAATCAGTAAATAAAGTACTTTACAGATTAATGTTGTGCTTAATAAAAAGCAAACCGTTCCATTCACTATACAAATTATTACAAAAGGCAATACATTATGAGATACTATTTAAATTTTACCAACAGGCCAAAACCTGATTACTTGGAAGTGAATCTTATTGGCATCACTGGGGCTTACTTCTGTTTGCCCATTTATAGGACTGCTTCGTAAATCAGTAAATAAAGTACTTTACAAATTAATGTTGTCCTTAATAAAAAGCAAACCATTCCATTCACTATACAAATTATTACAAAAGGAAAGTAGCTAGTCGCTGATTATCTTGCACACAAAATCCATACAGAGGTGATACCCTCACTGGCAACCAAAAAGGCTAATTACCTGATCTCCACACCAGACAAGATCTTATCAAAATAAGACAGGGTGGGGAAAACTTAAACTTAAGTCTTTGTAGTATGCAGGGAGTCTTAAAATGTTAATGGAGGAAGGCCACGCAGACAACAGGGCTTCTCAGGTGACACAAGGGTGTTAGATTTCACCCAGAGTAGCCCTCAGACTCCTTGCTAGTTGGAACGGAAAGGTTTGTTCTTTCATCCTATAAAATACAACTTCCCGCAGTAAAGGCAAAGCTGTTTCCACCCTGTCTGAGCTCACAGGCTCCAGCATCGGTGGAAAACACAAAGCAACATCATAGTCATTATCATCACCCATGAAGATAATTCCAAATGTTGCAGTAATTTAAGGAACTCAACAGCAGCTAAACTGGGTAGTTTGAACCAGTTAGAGGGGGAAATGGAAGAGTTGCACCCTCAGGGAATAAAGTCCCAGTTCCTGGTATAAAATAAACCTCACTTCCTCCCACGTAGGTTCCCCCTGCTGAACTAAATTTGGTTTTGACAAAGTCATGAAATAGAAGAAGTACTCATGGTGGCCATAAAACAGAATACAAAATCCCTATTGCAGCCATTACTCGACTATGCCAACCAATTATACAAGTGTTGACATCACTTTCAATTAACAGGCTAGGTGAGTGGGTTCCCAGCCTTGATGTTATTGGATTGCAACTCCCAGAAATCCTGGCCAGCACAGCTAGTGGTGAAGATTTCTGGCAGTTTTAGTCCAAGAACATTTGGGGGCCCAAAGTTGGGAACCACTGGGTTGGACAAAGAGTTTGGTTACATCTAACACTTGCTTTGGGGAGGGTGACTTTCTGGTCAATCTAATAAAGTTATTACCCTAATATGACTTTAGGAATATATTTTATAGCCAACACATCTCTGTTTTTATTTCCAAACATGTAAGGGTTTTTAAATTGATGTATAAAATTTACAGATTAAATTTTGAACAACTTACCATAAGCCACCGGGGTTAGCTTTAAGACAGTATGCAGTGGGCACTTGAGATAAGGCAGTTGTTCTAAAATAGAAAATATACATATCAAAAATTAATTGCAGATAACAAGAGACTCCAAAGCCTGATTCCTAGATCAGCATATAAAGTATTCTCTTTGTCGAGCAATGCTAATGTTGTTGTTGTTGTTGTTGTTTAGTCATTAAGTCGTGTCTGACTCTTCGTGACCCCATGGACCAAAGTACGCCAGGCCCTCCTGTCTTCCACTGCCTCCCGAAGGTCTGTCAATTTCATGTTGGTTGCTTCGCAGACACTGTCCAACCATCTTGTCCTCTGTCGTCCCCTTCTCCTCTTGCCTTCACATTTTCCCAACATTGGGTCTTTTCCAGGGAGTTCTCTCTTCTCATGAGATGGCCAAAGTATTGGAGCCTCAGCTTCATTATGCTAATGAACTGTTTGATTATTTAATATGTTCAATAGGCTCATATCCCTCTGTGACTTGTCAACAACACCAAATAAATATGAAGCAATCTATCTTTAAATTAACCCAAATTCTTGAAACTGAATTATGAACATGATACTAATTCAAACAAATTTCTGAAGTGGCTCACATCATACAATAAAACTACAGTACATAAAAGAGCAAATCCTTAGCAGCAGCCTTTTCATTTATTTATTTTTATTTATTTATTTATTTGATTTATACCCCGCCCATATGGTCTAAAATTTAAGGACAACAGCATTAAACTAATGCAAAATACCATATTAGAACAGATAACACTTTACCTTGCCTAAAATTTAGATTTGTGGGTTCCAGCCATAAAGATATCAGGAGTTCTCAAGCACAATATCTCCGCAGAATAAAGCTATTTTCCTCTGACTTCAGCCTGCAGAAGAACCCAGGGAGGAATCTCCTCAGCCATGGGGGGGATCTGACCCATTCTCCACCACTTCCTCGGTGAGTCACACCTGCTTCTTTATTTCAGAGCAGAAGTGGCCAGAAGGTTACTGCCAGTTTTGAAAAAAATCTATTTCAGCCTTGGCAAAGGAGCAGAGGAGACTCGAAATATTCCTAAAATAGACAGCTGTGCCTCTGTAGGCTCCTGAGAAAATCGTTCTCTATTTTGGAGCAGGACAAAAGAAATCAGATAAAGACCCTGTGGGGACCTGCACAATTCCCACCCCTGATCTAACATCTTGGCTTCAGATAAGAGCAGGCAAGTTCAACAACTTCATTAAAGTGACGTAAAATGGGTCTCCTTCCACCAAAATAAAAGTCTGACTTTTGAACAGATGGAATGGGTTGCTAACAGCACCACTTGCCTGCTCTTTTAGGATGTAGACACAAGACATTGGTCAGTTTCACAGTGGTATCATAGATACCACAAGATTCTTTGGCCAGAATCCTATTATGTTGTTCTGTGTGCAGAAGAGAAAACACTGACATCACTGCAGCTGATTAACAAAGTGCTAGTCCCATTTTAAGTCATCTACCCTAACACCCTGTCAATTAGCTGCAATTAGCTGTGATCACTTCCACATTTCCTCTTTTGCATATTTAAAAACACAATAGGATTCCAGCCTTGACTGTCTTTTCTGCAACAGATTAACATGGCAAACCTCTGGGAAGTCATCCCCATGGAAGCTGCTGTTGGTGAAAAAAAATGGAAAATCTCCAGGATGTGTTTGCATAGGAAGGTACCTACCGGCAGGTTTGTCCAGAAAATAAGCAAGCAGGCAGCGCATAACAGCTTGGTGACAAATTACAAGCACGTTTTCCTGTCTTTCCAACTCCATAATAACTGGCTCCAACCTCTGAACAAGATCTTCATAGGACTGAAAAAGATTAACATATAATGAGTCTCTTTGGTGGATCATGAGAACAAAGACCCACATGGGGTGGTGGTAGGGACATGCTTACTTTATGGAAAATTTAATTTATTATTCACATGGAAGAAGTCAGATCGGCACAATAAGCCCATAACTTAATAATTACTCAAATTATCTTTCTTCCAGTGTGGGTAGATAAGCTTTTCATAAGTTAATTTGTCTCAAAAATTAATACAGTACACATATTTGCTTTAGATATTCTTCTGTTTTAAAAGATACAGTGACGAATGTGCACAACTATATCTACAGATTGAACAGGGTACTGCTACATTATGGGCAAAAGCAAACCAGATTAATAAAATTGCTTGTCCACATACAGGAAATTAATGAGAAACTACACTTCTGAAGTTATGAAAGCTGCATTAATGGATCAGTGCACCTAAACAAGAGGAGGTAATTATTTGATAAAGGAGCCATTGTGTGTGTAGCTTGAAAATAATTTTTTCCTTGAGCATGGGGGCTTTCCCCTGCTTCTCACGACTCCTATGTTTTTACTACCTGACGCACAATGAGGATTCTGTTGCAGGGTGATAGCCAAAGTTCTGCCTGTGAAAATGCAGCTTGTCATACACATAAGTCTTTCCACTGATGTTTGAGGGTGAGCCTTCCTCACATAGATTTTATTTTGAAAGTTGGGGTATAAACAGGGGCTAATAAAAGGTGGCCTCTAGCAAGTTAAAATAAATAAATCCAGGGAGGAGAGAAAGGACAGTTTGAGGTACTGTACATTTGAGAAATTATGGAAATGAGAACTGAGTAGAGAATTAGCAGGAGAAAAGCTGTGCTGCCCTGTGGTATGCAGGGAGTGGGGGGGGGCGGAATCAGTAATTTTGAACTTTAGTTTCCCCATTCCTAAAAAAAATGGAATAGCAATGTAACATCAACTTTCTTATCACGTTCTAGCTCTCACAAAGGCAGACCAAGCCCTGTTATCTGTTTCTGGTCTCTGTCCCCTTCCTGTCCTTCCTCTCTCCCAAATCCTTCTGTTTTAAAAGATGCGACACTTTCAAACTTTCAAGTCTGTCCTGCCATCTTACTGAAACTTATCTAACACATGCAAGTCCTTCTTATTGAACCTGGCTACATAAGTGGCATCAGACTATCTAACTGGCTGTCACCAGCCTTTCAATTAACTTAAATGTAGTGTTATCTTGCAAAAACAGAAAGGCCCTTCAATTTGCTCAAGACAGCTTCATCAAATTCTCCTGTGTTCTCCATCTCACAACACACAACACACATGATATGCTCTGTTATACCCTTGATCCGCAGAGCAGCTTTTGGTGAGAGCACAGGATCATGAGTGGTGGGAGGAAAATCCATGAACAAGAGCTCTCTCTGTTCACCTATCACTGGACCCAATGCTTTTATACATTGGTTTCCAAATCTTTAATTATTCCAGGATATTCTCAATCCAAACAGAAGATGGACCATTAATGACAATTATAGATGTGGCATAACTTTGATTGAGGAGTAATGTACACATAATTCTTTTTTCCAACCTGTATGTACCAGTCTCCCTCCCTACATCCACTCCTCCCCATCTGTGCTTGTGCACATGCATCCACACACACATGCATGATGCACTATCAAAGCTAAACCCTAGAATATGAGATGGAGAAGATAATGAGTTGATCCAGTCAGGGCCTTTCCTGGCATTCCTATTTTTGGGCTTTACATGCTGTTCAGATTGTTTTGGAACGATCTCTTTACTTTGTGGATAATCTAAGAATAAATGAGGCATTCGTTCCGGAGAGGCTTCCATGCAAATGAACTTTCAGAAAAGCAAATGTCCTGAGCACCACTACACCGGAGCAATTAGCCACCTTGATACTCTAAGCATATCATTCTAGGGCTAAAACGAACATGTCAACTGAATACAACTGAAACGACCCCCATTATTAGCCATCCAACAAACATGCATGCCTGTTTAGAAAGACACACAAAATCCCTCCACCAACTCTTGCTCTGAAAGGTTAGCAAACAAATCTAGAAAGCATTCCATCTTTCCGAACAGCTGTTACAACATAGGTACTAAAAGCACAATAAATAATAGCCACCTGTATTCTGGGCATTGTGATCATGCAGTCAACTCATGGTCACTGGACCTCTCAGAAGTGTTGACACCTCCCTAGCAGGGCAACAGCTGTTTTAAATCAATGCTTTTTAAAATTCCGACTTCTAATTTGACCATGTAAAAAGCCAGGTTGGCTAGCAACACACTCAGCTTTTAACACCATGTTTTCTTTCCCCTAGCCCCTTTCAGAAAGTATTCCCTTAAATGTAGCAAGATAAAGAGGCAGGGAGCACGTGGAAGACTTTATTTCAAATTTGAACTAGACAATTTAAATCTCCTAGGCAATGAGCATAAGATTACTGTTACTATGATGCAACAGTAGAATGAGATAGTTAATTTTAGTAGTACTACAGGTGGAACCTTTGCAGAAAGGCCTTTTGAAGATACAATATATGTACCTAGTGAAGTATTACACTAAAAAGTGTATTTCTTTTATCACCAGATTTAAAAGAACTGTATATGCTTGTGAGAATTAAAAACACATGAAATAACACTTCACAACATACCTCTCCCTTAGGATATCTGTATCTGTATTTGTCCTGGTCTCTTAAAGCAAATTCTAATGGAAAGTTTTCTTGAATTTCTTCATATGTCATTTCTTCACAGACCCCCTATGGAACAAAGAAGACGTAAGAATTCTGGTATAGTTTCCTAGCTAGGAGACAGAGCCGTGAATCAAAACTCCCAGCTGAAATCCCATTTCTGCCCAAATTCAATGGATGGCCTTGGACAAGTCTCTCAACATTAGACCACCTTCTGCTCCAAGGAAGATAATCTCTCTCTTTCTCTCTCCACTCCCATGTGTATCCTGCCTTTCCCTCACAAAAATACAGCTATGTCAAGGCAAGCAACTATAATAAACAATTAAACAGTTTCAATGTGTAAAACAGATAACTTTAAAAGCAATTAAATACATTTTTTTAAAAAAAGAAAATACATCTTCCTGGGTCAATAGCTCCTCTTTCAGCAAACAAGCACAACATGCCAAGGCCTACTGGATGAAAAAAAAATCTTTACCTGGATGGGCAAAGAGCTTTTTCATCCACACAGGGTGGGGGCGGGGGCAGCAGGCTCCCTCAGCAGGGAATGCCAGGCTACAAGTGGCCACTGAGGAAATTCTGTCTCATTTCCCTGGAATACGCCTACGGAGCTTGCAGGACTGAGATGCCTGAGAATATCCCAGGAGTAAAGAAATGCTAATTTATTTTATAGAGCTGCTGTGAAGGATTATTGAGAAAATAGTAATATGCATTTAGATAGCACTAAATACTTCGTTAAGAACCAGTGTGCTATAGTGGATAGAATGTTGGACTAGAACTCAGGACACCTGGGTTCAAGTCCCTTGCTCAGCTATGCGAGTGCACTGGGAGCTGGAATAGTAAATCACTCCTTCAACATCTCACACCAATTCAAACCCTATCACAGTTGCCACAAGTCAGAAGCAACTTGACACAGCAGCTGCCGTCGCCATCACTATTTAAGAATGCTGGTGTTTGTAACAAAACCTTAGTTGTGATCCTGCCTCTTGAGATTCTTTGGCACCCCAGAGGCTCACAATGTATCCACAATCTCTTGTATGAAGCTACAGGGTTGTGGGGAACTGAGTTCCATGGCTTGAATGGCACCATTCACTGGCACACATTGTATATTGCTCCCCGAAATTATTACTTGGGTTACTTGCACAGTCTGATCTGTCTTGCTCATCACAGACCTGAAGCACTTGCTAAAGTTGCCAAACTATCATGGATGTAATGCTTATTATTTTCTAATTTTAATGATGATGATAATAAACAATACTGTTTATCTATCTGTGTGTGTAGCTAGACACTATACAACCTAAAATAGCTAAAGAAGGTATACATCTTTTGAAGTTTTATTATTTAATCATAAAACACTTCTTCCACCATAAAAACTGACACTCCTTTATACAGAGCCACAAGAATTATCTTACCGCATCTATTTCGTTCAAAACTTTCCACTGCTCATAAGGCACTCCCAATGCCTCTGCAGTCTGAATGGTTCTTTTCATTTGGCTCGTCCATACTTTCAGATCTTTAATGTTCTGCTCATTAATGAACCGCGCCAAGCTCTTGGCAAACTGCAAAACACAGTGGAAGGAAAAATGAAAGTTACAGCTGAAGAAATCACAGCTGAAGCACTCTAGTTAGAAGTCAATAGGCCCTAACACTGGTAACTACAATGAGATAATGATGTCTTTCAAAAAGCTGCTGCCATGTGCTCTCCAGAATACAATGCCACTGGCATTTAAAAGGACAGCCACAAAGGATGTATTCAATTATTGACAATTTTTCTTCACTAAAGCAAGGCTCTCCTCTGATTCAAATCCAAAGAAACAAGTCTGTGTGAAAAAAAAGCATTTCCATGGAGCCTCAATCTCTCTACCCACTATGGTTCTCACTGCAGCCCCTATAAATCACATTTCACATCTTGGATGGTTCCTTGACTCTTTCAAAGCATCTATCTGGGAGCACAGGGTCCTCCAGCAAGGGGGTGGGGGAGACAAAAGACCGGAATCCTGATTACTGTTTGCTGGGCACAGCCTCCTCCCAATCTTGATCATCAATCGTGAAAGGTACAAATAGACAAAGCCAATAAAGTTTAAAACATTAACATTCAAATAATTGTAGAGTGGCAGAATACAAGAAAGTACTGCTCCACTGGATAGACAAAGCATACCTCCTTCCCTCTTGGGGATAAGCCTGTGTCTCCTCCAATTCTTCCCTTTAGATTTAATTCACTTTCACCATGTCGACAGAGGTAGATGGAGCGAGGAGTTACGTGGATATTCATGAGGTAGTAAACAATACGGCTCTGGATATGGTCCATTACTCGGTTCACAAGGTAACTCCTTCCAACATCCATTATTTTGATATAAGAAAGGTCCCTTTTGTAGTAAGAGATAAAATTACTGATAAGAATTACAATGTTCATTCTAGTACTTCATTTACCATTCAGAGGGGCCAGGAACGAGTCTTCCCATATAAGATTACAGAAAACTGTTTTATAGTTCTCTAACGGATAAGATAAACAAGACAACTGCTCCGGGAAAATAAGAGCAACAGGATAATGGAAATCATGTAGTTTACTTATATAACCTCTATACTACTGAATTAACCATATCTACTAAGGTAGTTAACAATTAACATTAAAAACCGTAACCAACCAAAACTGAACAGAAAGGAACTCCTCCTAAAACGATATTAAAATGACTGGAGAAATACCGTAACAGAGGCACCAGAGAAATCTCTCCAGAGATTTATTTATTTATTGGATTTCTATCCCGCCCATCTAGACCAAAGGTCTACTCTTTGTCTAATCAGAGCCCCTATACCATGAAGGTCGATTCCCAGTAGCCGCCTGTTGCTGTTCCTCTGGTCAAGCACCCTTACTAAGACCTCCAGGAATCGATCTTAAGATCTAGGTAGCTTACTTCCTAACCACATTTCCCTTAGGACTAAGCCCTAATAGATGTCTTTTGTACCAGAGAAGGCTTGATTTAACTACCACACCTGGTGTAAGGCCATACAACTGCAGGATGGCCATGCTCATGTTCAGGGTTCCAGGCAGGCAAGCCATTAGTAAGGCTATACAACTGCAGGGTGGCCATGCTCATGTTCAGGGTTCCAGGCAGGCAAGCCATGCTGGTTCCATCCTAACAAATGCCCTTCCCCAACCTTGACTTCCTGTTCCACACCCTCAGAAGTCAAGCTGCGAGTTTTGCCCCCAGAGAATATACAGCCTCTCAGTGAGTTGCTTGGGTGATTTTTATCTCTTAGCTGTTTTTGTATTTCTGCAAACCTCCATGTTTCTGCCCAAGCTTGTTTATTTATTTATTTTATTTATTTATTTATTCAATTTATATGGTATTTCTGCAAACGTCCATGCTTCTGCCCAAGCCTGTTATTGCTCCACACAGTTTAATTAATGCAACATTTACTTAGGCCTTCAGTCAGTGGGATGTGGTGATGAGAGCTTCAATTTAAATTTATTTCCTATCAGAAGGCCAATTGCTCCACACAGTGTAATTAATGCAACACTTACTTAGGCCTTCAGTCAGTGGGATGTGGTGATAAGAGTTTCAATTTAATTTATTTCCTATCAGAAGGCCACAGCACATATCAAATCATACGTTTCATGAGTGTATTCTTCTGCTTTAAGAGATAACTGACTCACTCATTCCAGAAATGAGCTGTCTGTTAAAGGGAACTTCCATAAGAATAACCTGTTCTTATTGCATGTCATCATTGATGGAGGTTTTTGCATGTTTAGTGTGACAACGTTCACTCTCTAAAAAACAAAAACTCTAACAGCCACATTTGCTGAATTACTTATGAAATGCCTGGTTGCTCCGGATGTGAATCTTGTTATTATGCTACTTGCTATTACAATCACTTAGTATGCAATTAATATGGCATGATAATATTAATCTTAGGTCACATATAACTGACATCTTTCCTTTCTCACTTATAGAAACACAGATATCAAAACTGATGAACGATTTTATCAAACTGTAGGTCACAGAACACAAGCAGGTGCCTCATCTGGTCACCAGTGATGAGTAAGAAATGCCTACAGGCTGTTAAAGCAGGAAGGTTTTGCAAACAGAAAAAAATGTGGTTTTTGTTTTTCTCTTTATCCTTTTTCAGGCTAAAGTTCACTTTGGAGAAAGCAATCTTGTCTATTACACAGGAGTTGATGTCACAATGAGTGGCTGTTACTGCCTCAAGACTCACTGAGTTGATACACCTGTATTACTATAAGGCTCCAGATGGGTCAACCATGCCCAAATATTCCCCAAGGGGGGGGGGGGGTTAGACATTCCTACTAATAGAAATCCAGAAGGGAGATGGCTGAAATAAACCTTTCTCCTGACATCTAGCTTTCTTGTACAAGGAATTGAATCAAGTAAGGCCTCACCTACAACATGAAGTGTTAAACCTCACCCAACACAGGTTTATTGCTTCAAACCAGTCTCATAGCCAGATTTAAGATTTTAAGAAGAGGAAATGTCAAGATTACCATGGCTACTTACTTGTCTAGATTTTCATCTAGTGTCTCATATGTATTCTTGTAACACTCAATTCTTTTCATAAAGTCTTCAGTAGCTTCATCACTACCACAGTCAACATAATCTGGACTGCCCAATTTCACTTGCTAATTAAAGAAAGAAGAACAATGAGATTTCTAAAAAGAAACAAAAAACAAAAGCAGGCACCACAGCTGTAAGGAAGATTCCAGTACCTAAACTTGTACCCATTTCTGAGTCCTTTTCATTTATTTAACATTATTAAACATTATTTAATAATGTTTATTATTTATGTTTATTATTTAACATTATTTAGCATTACACAAAGTATTTCCGTGTTAACATTATTTAGCATTACACAAAGTATAACTTCTGGGTGTTTAAAAATGTTATCTTCTATCAGGTACAAATACCAAATATAATTTGCAGTATGCAAATCTCTTGTCAGCATTCTTGAACAGACAAATTTATTAGATGCATGTTTGTCACCGAACAAGAGCTCAAGGGACATTGCTCCGTACAGATCCTAACAAGCAAGAACCACTGAGGATCCTTATAATACCAACATTTTAGAATCTCTTCAATTTCGAATCAGTAGGAAGAATTATGTGGCAGGTGAACTATTATCTCAGAGAGCCTACCTTTTATTATGCTTGATAGGTTGCTCTTATCTTTTCACACTCTGTTATGCCATAATTCTTGGCATGTTTTATTTATTTTCCCTCCTATACTTGGCAATTGGGAAATATTATTTCACATATTTTTACTGAAACTACACCGTCTATTTTTTCTTCCTTTTTTAGAAACAGCCCACAGCTCACTAGCAGTGGATGTGGGCTCTTTTTTTATTATTCAGAAGGATGCAGATTCAATCCCTGGCATCTCCAGGAAAGGTTGGGGAAAATTTCCAATCAAAATTCTGGAGAGCTAGGATTAGACAGTGTAGATAACATCAAACCTAGATGGCCACTTTGTATGCTTTTTACTTGCATGTTGCACCATGCACCCAAATATGCCAGTTGCCTACAAAATGTATACACTGCTCAATAGAAGAGGAGAGACCAGACTCAGAGGTAGGGTCATAGTAAAGATCTCTGCAACCTACACTACATGGAAAAAAATGATTCCTAGGCTTTGTTTGTAAAAATCAGATTTTAAAAACAAATACAACAGATAGGTGTAAATCAAAAAGATAAAAGCATGAATGAAGGTGAGCAAAGTGGAATGGGGCACTGTGAAACTTTAATCCCATAACCATTATGATAAAACTTTGTATTTCTAATCTAGTACAATAACTACAAGACAAAACTAGAAAGCAGTGCTCCACGTAGATGGTGCTTCTCATTTTGTAATGAAAAGCAGGAAACTGGATCAAAAGGATTCTGCAAGTCCAAAAAAGAATATGGAACGGAAACAACTAGACCACATGACTGGTTCCGGAATGCATGTCAAGAACACTGGTCTGTATTCTGCTCGTAAGAATCAAAATTATTACTCACCACAATATTTGCAGCAATGACCTCTGGATCAACACATACAGACTCCACAAAAAAAGTCTTTCATCCAAACAGGACATGTAAAGAAGACAGAAGAAAGAAGAGGGATTAGAACTGATTTACCAATCAATACCATAAACATACAGTGGTGCCTTGCAGAACGAGTGCCCCGTAGAGCGATGAATTCGCTCTACGGTGACGCTTTTGCGACCGCTAATGCTCTGATGAGGTATATTTTGCCTTCAGCATTTCTTACTGTGACGTACTGAACATCCCTCTTATTAAACACAGTAAAATTTATATATTTCCTGCCTAACTTGGAGGAATTACAGACAACAGTGTTAATGCGGGAGTTGCAAATAAGGCAGCAAGTCAAAGTGGGAAAAACAGTAAAGAACATTACTATATCACATCAGTTCTCTTTCAAGCCCCATCTACTGTGAAGCAGTAGCAACCCAAACACAAACTCCAAGGAGAAAAATGAGTATAAGTGGTCTATAGCCCTCCATAAATAAAATCTGATTCAAGTTTAAATTGTTGCATTACTAAACTCTTTACGAACAGAGGCACTTTTAAAGGTTGAATTCCATGCACTCTGCTTCTTCCCACATAAAACATTTCTATTTCAGAGAAGCAATATTAGCAAGGTAATCAAATGTAACAAAATTTATTAAATTATATAAAAAGGAAGTTCTCTCAAACTTAGCATTACAACAAAATTTCTATATTCTATATGATAGATATACTAGCAGGAATTTAACAGTATGAGCAGAAATGAGCAAGGTTTAACGAAGATGGTTTTCTACAAGACTACTACAAATAAATATATGATTAGCTCAGAGTCAGTGGCAACATAAGCAGTCATGTATTTAAACACTGGTCCATCATATCATTAAGCAATTCTAAAACACTTGCTCTTAACTCACCTTATATCCATTCTCCTCACCAAATTTGTAGATGGTTTCTCTACGTTCCCTTGTAGTGTTGGTGGCATCAAAAACCTAGAGGGGAAAAAATAAAAGAAGCAATGCTGTATGGCAGAAAAATATGTAACTAAAATCTTTACTATGTGTATTCCACATACAAATCACAAAATGGAATAGCATTGTCATGGATTTTTTAACCTATAAAACTGTAACATGCAAACACAGCAAATGCAGGTTCCCTGTGCAGTCTACAGGCAAATACAAGAGGACCAGGATTCTCCTGTTATGTGTTATGTGCTGGCAAGACAGAAAAAACTACAGTGAATCAAATAGGACTTTCAAAGTAAATGAGATATTTATTTAAACAGTAGTTTTATCAGTTTCACCTCATTGCACCCCCAGTGTGTTTCCATGACTGAACAGGGATTTTGAACCCAGGGCTCCTGAGTCCTAGTCTGTCATGATATCCACTACATACTGATCAGAAGAAGTCCAAACAGCCCAACCCAATGCACATTTAGTGAGATGGGAAGTCCTATTGACAAGAACTGCACCTTCACTAGGACGAGAACTGCAAGCAACATTCCAAAGTACACCCATCCACTAAACAACAGACAGGATAATGCTAATCGATAGGAATATATATTACTATGCTAATACTAGAAAAAGGTTTTGGAATCCTGAATAAGTCTGAATAAGGCTCTATCATGATCAAGTATTAAGCACAAAATTAAAACACACACCCTCCTAATACCTCCTGTACTGTAATGATCTTTATACAAACCAAAACTAGCTCTGTGATTTTTCAAATGTAAAATCAGATCAGCTCTAATGATGAATCAGAGAACATGCTTTTACTGAAACAGATGTGAATACACCAGAAAAACAAAAATTAGCCAAAATTATCTGCCTGTGAATTATGAAGGCTCAGGAATCCTATAACATTAAAATAATGAAGATCAAACTAGAGAGCAAGAAATACACCTTCAACAACTTTATAATTCTGTAAAAACAACTAGTGCACAGAATGTATGAAAGAATGACCATACAAAACCTAGCTCATTTTACATCAAAATAAAAACAATTATGGAATTGAATGTTTTCATTACATTTCTGCTACCGTACAAATGACACACAGTAATACACCAACCTAGCTAGGCAGCATCATTCTTACAGAACACCGGGTTTGAGCCAGTAGACAAATCATACAATATATTCACTACAGAATCACTTCCACAGGAGAAGTTCTCAGAGGTTCTTGATTCACAGCAGTTGAAGAAAAGATTTCAGCCTTTGAAAAACACTATAGTGTAGATGGACTTTGAATCAATAATTTGTGAACAAGAAACAATGATAAATATGAAGCATGTGGGAATTTGTTCTAATTTTTAGTATGTTACACCGTTCTTACACATGTCTATCCTTGCCCTTCTGCAATGTACCACCAGAGATAACTGTTTGGTTACTATTTCCATCTGTTTGGTTAGAGTCCATCCCAGGTTACAAGGAAATCATGCAATATCTATGTCATTGTGATACACCCTCCTAAACAAAGCAGGGTAGGAAGTGGAAACCATTAACTGTTTGAATGTTGTTAAACCTCCAATTTTGCCAGCAATTTTGCTAGAAAGAGATTTCAAATAAGACAATGACCTGGGCTTTGTATGGTAATTCTTTCATACATTCTGTGCACTGGTTGTTTTCACAGAAAAGCTGTGGTCCTCTAAACCATTTCTTTCTCCATTGACACTTTCATAATTTGTAAACATATCAACGTAAGCCACATTCCATGCTCCATGTGTAAAAGGAATACACATCTCCTTGAAAGAGAAGTATGGAATTATGGTGCTGTTCTTCTCCACAAAGAGTCCATCCCAGGTTACAGTGAAGGCGCCTGGATTGTGGAAAAAATGTGGTATTTGGAGTGGAAATCCCGTTCTTAAGGGACAAGACAGTTCCCCAGCCCCTGTGTTAGAACTTCTCTTTTTCCAGCAAATAAGGAAAGAAAAACTTACTGCCACGTGCCCATTTTCTTCACCAAGATACCGTCGAACATCATTCAGTGCTGCTAAGGCACACTGTCTTAAAGAAAAGAGACAACATAACAATTACACAATCTGAAAATGCTGCTTTATTGAACATACATATGCCATTGTGTCATGCCAAGCACAATGTAACCATCAGAAACCAATTTCTCTTAAGAGGACAGTCAAGTCACACCCTCTACAAAAGCAAAAACAGGGTAAGTAGATCTACTCTAGATTTCATAGTAGCACTAAAATTATGGTCTTTTTTTCTTTATGGGGAGGGTAGCACAAGAATACAGTCCTTGGGTTCAGCATGCATTTCTTCTTGAACAGTCAGTTCCATATGACTTTTTCTTTCTTTGATTCAAATGAAAACTTGAGAAGACAAACAAAAAAACAAAAAACTGTTTCCTATAGATCAAATAGATTCCAAATCCCATGACATATTAGTTCCCCTCTATTCAGCACTAGTTAGGTCTTATCCTGAGTTCTGTCTTCAATTCTGGACACTGCACTTCAGTAAGGATGCTGACAAATTGGAACAAGTTCAGAGGAGGGCAATAAGGATAATCAGTGGGCTCGAAACCAAGCCTTATGAGGAAAGACTGAAAGAACTGGGCATGTTTAGCCTTGAGAAAAGAAGACTAAGGGGAGATATGATAATACTTATCAAAGTGGAGGCAGAGGAAAGATAGGATCTCTTTTTGATAATCCCAGAGTGCAGGACACACAACAATGGGGCTCAAGTTACAGGAAGCCAGATTTCAGTTAATATCAGGAAAAATGTCCTTGTAGCATTCAGTCCTGCCCTCACCTGTCCGTCACAGCTGAGCAGTGGAAAAGGAGCCAATGGGGGAACAGAAGGTGGTGCTAAAGGGGGAGGGGCTGGGATATAAAGGTGGGTATGGAGTATGAAGAGAGGGAGATCTGTGAGTCTGTGAGAGAGTGAGCCAGAAAGTCAGTGAGAGTAGGGTTCTGTGTGTCAGTGTGTTCAGTGAGTGAGAGAGATTGATTAGCATCTTGTGATTTACCTATTATATATTATTGATCAAATAAACAAGTTTAAGTTTAAAGCAACACATGTCTCACTGAATAATTAGTATTGTAACTGAAATAATGATGGCAGCAACTGAGTAGAAGAGTCAGCACCTCCTGAAGGCCTGAGAAAATAGAGGCTTCAGTGCGCTCGCTACAGTCCTAACTGTTAGAACAGTATGGCAATGGAGTCAACTACCTTGAGAGGTGGAGTACTCCAATACTGGAGACATTCAAGAGAAATTTAGACAACCATCTGTCAAAGCAAAAGCAAAGCAAAGCGTGCTGCTTACATACCGCCCCATAGTGCTTCAAGCACTCTCTGGGTGGTTTACAAGTTAATTATGCAGGCTACACATTGCAAGCTGAGTACTCATTTTACCGACCTCAGAAGGACAGAAGGTTGAATCAACCTTGACCCGGCTACCTAGGATTGAATCCCAGGTCATGAGCACAGTTTTGACTGCAGTACAGCAGTTTAACCACTGCGCCATGAGGCTTTGATTTAGATTCCTGTATTGAGCAGGGCATTGGATTCAATAGCCTTATAGGTCCCTTCCAACTTCATTATTCTATAATTTTATCAAAACAATAATGTGAAACTGAAGGAACAAATCTCACCACAAACTTACTTTCGGATTTTCAGGCCTTCTTCATTGTCTGGCAGAAAGAACTCAAAGGACTTGTAGGTTTTTACTAAATCTCGCCGATATTGACCAACATTAAATTCTGTAGGTGAAATAGTGAGAGAGAAAAAATCAATTTGAATTTCAGTCTTCAGTTGCCTCGATTTTTTCCTATGAATACAGGTTCAGTCACAAAGCAGACACACTACACCCTAGTAGCAGAGAAGAGACAGAAGCATAAATCACAAAGTTCCTGATTTAAATTTCATCTGTCATGAACTTACTAGATGTCCCTGAAAGCCTACAATCTTCTCTCAGCCTCAGAAACCTTCTGTATGAAAGGCATAGGAGGTAATAATAGCCTCACAGAGTTTATCATGCTACAGCTAGGTAATACAAACACATAGTTTGAAGTTGGATCGATTTTAAAAAGAGGATAGTTAAGATTAACCTCAGTTTGTCAGGAAGATCATTTAATCTCATTAAACATGTTAGAAACTGGATGAGTGGGAGGAACATGAAAGGATAAGGTTTGCTGTGGCTGATTTCTATATTATTGATTATGGTTTGATATGACATCTGAACTAAATGAATAAAAGAATTTGCTGTTGTTTAGTTGTTAAGTCATGTCCGACTCTGTGACCCCATGGACCAGAGCACACCAGGCCCTCCTGTCTCCACTGCCTCCCAGAGTTCGATCAAATTCATCTTGGTAGCTTTGATGACACTGTCCAACCATCTCATTCTTTGACGTCTCCTTCTCCTCTTGCCTTCACACTTTCCCAACATCAGGGACTTTTCCAGGGAGTCTTTTCTTCTCATAAAAGAGTTATCCATATCCTATTATATGGTACCATATATTCCTTCCCTTCAATCTGCTCCACAAAATCCACTGTTCTGTTATCCCTTTGGCTGAGTACTTTAGTCTCAAAATGTTCATTACATCTAACCCTGCAACCAAGCTGAAATGCATACAACTTAAATGACCTCTTCTGTATTTTTTCCTGTGCCAGATTATATAGCCCTTGGGCCAGAGAATCATCCTTTGTACAGTCTAAAGTGCTGTGCATACTTATGCCACCATACAAGTCATCAATAATAAGATTATTCACTAATTTTGAACATCCCATTCTCCCGACTCTCTTTGTTCCAAGAGAAGTACTCACCTTTAGTAGGCACTCCAATCCAGTTTAAGTAGCGTGTTAATTTCTTTGAGATGTATGTCTTTCCTCTTGCTGGGAGGCCAACCATAACAATCAGCGTAGGGCAGTTGGTCATACATACTGAAACAAATACAAAAACAAAAGCAAGGCCATAGTTAGTATTCATGATGAACAAAAATTCCAATTATAATGACTAAGATCCAAAGTGTCTATTTAGAAAACAGATGTATTTTGTCAGTAAGGACATGAACATGCAATTTTCTGTTGACACTTCTTTGTTATTTTCCCAGCAGAAGCCTTGCCCAATTAGTTGAAGTGGTTTACGCCAGTGGTTCTTAACCTTTGTTACTCGGATGTTTTTGAACTGCAACTCCCAGAAACCCCAGCCAGCACAGTTGGTGGTGAAGGCTTCTGGGAGTTGCAGTCCAAAACTCCTGAGTAACCCAAGGTTAAGAACCAGTGGTTTAAGCAACATTCTATTTCTATCAAAAGTTCCACAAACCATCCTGTTACCAGTTGGAGCAGAGAGATTTTTATAAATATAGTGGTTGCCAACCTTGGGTTACTCAGGTGTTCTTGGAATGCAACTCCCAGAAACCTGAGGCAGCACAGTTGGTGGGAAAGGCTTCTGGGAATTGTAGTCCAAGAACACCTGGAATACCCAAGAGTGGGAACCACTAATATACAGTAATGGAACACTGTAGAGTGCAATCCCACAGCTGCACCACAGGATGCCCCGCAATGTTGTTAAAGGTCCTGTTGTTACTGTTGCTTTAATGATGATGATGATGATCCACCAAATCAATTCTGACTTCAGGGTTTTCCAGGTAGACAGTACTCACAAGTGGTTTACCATTCCCTCCTTCTCGGGGTACCCTGGGACAAGGTTGCACAAGCTGGCTCTTCTCCCAGGTGGCACAGTGGGGAATCGAACTCCCCAACCTCTGGCTCTGTAGACAGATACCTAACTCACAGCCAGCTTTGAACAACAAGATATAACTGATAAAAATGTCTACTTTTTCTCTGTTATGAGCTTTCAAGTCACTTGGTTCCAACTAATTACAGTCCTAACTAGGTATTCAAGATCCCTGAGATGTTCAACAAGTGATTTACCATTGGTAAACCGAAGAATTTTTTGTCCCTGAGCAGTGATTTCAATCCAGGTCTCCCAAGTCCTAGTCTGACACCCTGCTGTCTCTAATGCTTTAGGAGCTCTCAAAGAGCCATGAGGGAGTACAAATTAAACTAGTCAGGTCCTGACATCGCTCTAGGAAAAAAATGCTTAACTGGTGATAAATCAGTATCTAATTCACTTTATTTCATACTATTGCTCCTATTAGGGTTTAAAGTCTTCATCACTGAACACCCTGTCGATAAGACTGGGTGGAGCGGCACAACAGAAGCCTATTTACATGTCCTCTGGCAATCACTCTGATCAGATTACGAACTACAGCTAGCATATATCCATTCAGAGAATACTTCGGGACTCCTAACTCCTTGGATTTAATCTAAAGAGTAAAATGGGATAAAGCAGGAAGCAAGAGAGTCACGTACACAGCCTCCAGCTCACTGGAAGAGAAGCAGGATACATATGGAACAAATAAATAAATCCAAGTAAATCCAGTGGAATTGCCTGCAGATCAGAGGAAACAAGGTGGCAGCAATAGAATAACAGCAGATGTTGCCACTACCTCTGTGGAAAATGCAGCGTTGGCAAAAGTTCCATTTCAGAAATGCAACTTCCAGAATACCCTTTGCCAGCATGGCGCACCACTCTGATGGCAGGAGAACTCTAGAAAGTACCTTTACCCATCTCTGGGAAAATCAACCTCCTTGCTCAAAAGAAGAGCCTTCAGGTTTATTTATTTTTATCAACAAAGCCCACCAGGGGCCTTATGCCCATGGTTTCTTCACTGTAATGTGGGCACCCAACACACAGGGAGCTTTCTGGCTTGACTCTAGCTCAAGAAGCCGGAAAAATAATCCAGTTAACTCTCTGGTTTGTCAAAGGAGAGACAAGCCAGCTTTCTGCTAACTTCACGAATCACAACAAATAAACACACCATGCAGTTTTTTTAGCTACTCCCTCTGGATGTGGGAGCAGTCAACATACAGCAGCATCCTGCTTGTCCAGAGTAAAACAGGACTCCCACAATTCTCTCACTTTACTATAGTTATGGAGCAACATAATTAATGTTCTACATATACTACCATTGTGACAATATACCAGAAGGTAAACAATTTTACAGAACCCTTACCTTTAGCTTACAAATTGACCTTTACTCCTCCTATCTCCCTCTCTGACATGAAGAAAAACACTGAGATTATGCCATTACTATGGTGATGTAAAGGTGTAGATGTTACTGTTCAAATACAGTGTCCCAGCTACAACATTACCATAACAACTGTTACCCCTTTACATCTCTCCACATTCATCATGGTGCCCAGAAGGCGAACTCTTCTTGGTAGTACATACTCTAGTAAGAACAAATGTTTGAGTGTTACTGCTCAGTCCTTGCAGAACCTCCTACTCCATTAATGCAAAGCATGTACTGGCAGTTTTGACATATATACCTGCCAGGGTGGATTTAGTTTAAATCAAGTTAATTTAAGTCATTATTTAAATAAAAACACCAGATGTTTTTACTATTAAATAAAAATGATTTTTTTAAAATATATTTAAATTCTGATTCAAATTAACTTGATTTAAACTGAATCTGGCTGTGGAATCAAAGTTTCAGAGTTTTATTCCCCACTGTGCCTTCGAGGAGTAGAAACAGCCTGTGTAGCTTCGAGCAAGCTGCACAGTCCCAAAGCAACCCAGGAAGAAGGGACTGGTAAGCTACTTCCAAATACTCACTATCTAGAAAACCCTGGAAAGGATCGCTATAAGTCAGGACTGACTTGACAGCACATAACTAATCAATTAATTGTTATTTCTATGTTCAGTAAAACATACAATTGTACAAATGACATTTAAAAATAAATATGTAAAAGCTGATTCACTTTGATATTACACCAAGAAACAATTCTCTAAAAGAAACTGGCAACTCTAATCATCTTAAACTCTTTGCAAAAGCCAAAGCCAATAGGTATAAGTAGTCTTACTTCAGTCCTCACAATGTAAGACAGAATTACAAAGCAAACTCTATGCAATGTTACTGCTTCATGTCTCAAACCCTTACTTAGGAAAGTGCCAGCATGTTGTGCAACACTGTCATGTTGAATAATATTAGTATGTGACAGTAAAAACACAGGTTGCAAAACACAACCCAGATGGAACAAAGAGCAAAACCAAGCAAGACACATCATAATTTGAGATAAGTCAAAAGTCACTGATATATTAACCTCATTTTATTTTTCACTGTTTTTCTCTTCAAGCAGAAAGTCCTAATACTTCACAAGATTTCCATGTAAATGTGAGTGTAGAACTGCAGCCTGATATAGTTTTGTTAACCTCATTTCATTTTTCACTGTTTTTCTGTTCAAGCAGAAAGTCAATACTTCATAAGATTTCCATGTAAATGCGAGTGTAGAACTGCAGCCTGATATAGTTTTTATTTTGTTTTTAAACTGTGTGTGCATGTCAGTAAAAAGGGGGGAAAGAATAGACCACATTGTAAGAGGAACCCAAGGGGGCCACATGGACCTGTGAATCCCATTTAGCAGCTGTGCGACCATTTTTCCTGAACTATATACAGATGAACTGCAAATGGTGGCAGTATAATTTGACATTAGCCCCACAATTATTCAAGTTATGGTAGAGCAAACAACTTTTACTTACAGTATTAGTAAAGAACAATGGCAGCCAACAATACTCAGGTATTCATTAAGTGCAATTAAAAACGAGGCTTAAATACATCTAAAAGCCAAGTTTAAAAAAATAAAGAGCATGTTAATGAATATTTACTAAACACAGAGAACAGACTGTCCAGATTCAGTACAGACATCTGACTTACCACTTTTGAGAGAAAACTAATTTAAATAGAAATCTCATTTGACCTAACATCAAACATCATGATCTCATCATTGCAAACATCATAGATTAAAGAATTAAATATTTCTGTTATGCAATTTAGTGTTTAAAAGAGAGCTTTAATCACTTCCTTTTGTCTAATCAATTGGTTTCATCATTAATCATTTTAACTAAGAGACAAAAAGGTACTCCGGCCTTGTTTTGATACAAGTTTCATGAACAAATGTTAAGACACACTAGAAATTAGCTGCCTGCAAAGTGTCAAATCATAAACTATCTCCAATAACCAAACCTCATTCCAGTTATTTTTCAAAAGAGCACAACATGGAAGAATTCTTACTAAGAAAGGTAACCCTTAGATTATTAATCTAATATTTCCTGCAGAGGAACAAATCTCAGCTGTAATTTCTACTGAGCAAGATGTCTATATGCACAAGGAGGAATGCCACATGCAGATAATTCCATCACGACATTGTCATTTTAAGAATTACTTCCATTTGTGTCCATTAGAGCTACAACAGCAGAAACTTCAAAGTACGTATACATTTGCTTTGGATCATAGTTGACATGCATAACTCAGCCAACAATTGGTATTCCGTAAATGGAGTAAAGGTTTAGGCATCCAGAAGTCCACTGAGAATTACTCAAGACACACATGGTTAAACAGGCCATCCATCTATTCCTAGCACAAACATTCATAACAAAAGCATTGTGAAATAGAAAGAAGAACTGAGAAAAACAGAGATCATTCGCCCCCTAATTAACCATAACACTGAGATGAGATTCACTGCTAAAGAAATCCTTGCATGCTCAGAGCTGCCAGGCTAGGTCCCTTAAGTCTGTCTACTACAGGCACAGGAGTTATGATATCACTTTCACATAATCCATGTATTTAATGTATATGTTTCAGGAGGTGAAGAGTTTTCCACTGAAGATCCCAAGTGATGCAAAAAAAAAAAAAAAAAAAAAACCGTTTTCAACTGAAGATCCCAAGTGATGCAAACCAAAAAAAAAAAAAAAAAAAAAAAAACAGATCACCTCTGACTAAAATAAAATTGCAAACCAAGCAAATATTTATGTGTTTACCTTGTATATATATTATTTCAGATCTGCAAGTAAACACAGTCCTAGTTAACTCTAATAC